TTGACTCGATAAAAATTGTCCTACAGGAGCAGTCTCTTCAATGTTTCTATGGTGGCAAAGTAAACCCTGACGGCATTGCAAAGGTGTACTCTGGAGCTACTATTGAGAGCAAGCTTTTTGCAAGACATAGGGCATTCGACGTTGCGTTGCACGTACTGGAAGACATCGATGAAGAGACAATCTCATGGTCCTGTTGTTCGAAGAACGCGGGCCTTAGTGTGAAGGAAAAGAAGAACCCTGGGCTTGAGACCATGTATATATCCACTCCCAAGCGTCCTAGATTACCCACTCCTCGATCAAGGGCAATTGTGATACCTCTTGAGCGACTGTGGGTATTTGGTTCAACAGTGCACTGTTGCGAATGAATCAAAACAGGAGCCAGCCAAATATGTGAGCGCACACATTCTGTCGCTTTGGCTACTTGCACATAAAACTAGAAACGAACATTAAAATTTAGTGACTTTTGCGAAATCCAATTCAGAAACGAGATTGCATCACACTTTGTGCCATTGAAAGTCGAACGAAACCGTGAAACCTTCGTGGGAGTGCCATTGAAAGTCGAACGAAACCGTGAAACCTTCGTGGGAGCCCAACGGGCAAACTTGTGGCATTCCGTTATCCTTTGACACTAGGACAGTACCTATCGTGATAGTCGTGCTGTTTTGTTGTCTTTGATCCATTCCCAACGTCTAAAGCATCTAAAAAACCGAACCGTTTCACGGTTTGACTCTGCGCTGAATCCATGAAGAGCTAGGTAGGTCTCAGTGACGACTTGTTCTAGCAGTTGCCATTATCGACGGCGCAGTTCCGGGCAACGGCGTTAGTGATATCAGAGAAGCAGTTGTCACCTGTTGAAAGAAGAAACAATGCATTAGCGAGTACGACTCCGTGAGCAGATTTGTTTTGTTGTTGCAAATCAGACACTCACTCAAATCACATTCTCGAGAAAGCCGTGGGAGCGGTGGGACGTCGCCAGCTAGACTATTGTTAAAGAGATGCAAGACCTCAAGCGATGTAAGATTTGCAATCTCCGCCGGAATCGTTCCAGTGAGGAAATTGGTGTCCAGCTCCAATTGTGTGAGAAAGGTTAGCAAACCAATTTCACTTGGAATTTGTCCATCGAACATGTTCGAGAACGCCGTCATGAATTTTAGAGAAGTTAATTCTCCAATCTCAGATGGAATCGTGCCTTTGGTGGATAAAAACAGCCAGATTGTGAGTGTAAATTTGAAACACAATAGCATATGAAAAAGGCAGTGATTGTTTCTTACCTGTGAAAAAACATAAGTCGATTTCCAGCTGTTGCAGAAATCTCAGCTGTCCAATCCTTGTAGATATGCTTCCATCAAGTTCTGTATCGAAAATCTTCAATGACTGAAGAAATGTCAAACTCCAAAGCTGCTCTGGTACGTTGCCCCGAAGCCTGGTATTGGACACCTCGAAGGTTTTCAAGTTAGTTTCCCCAATTTCGTTTGGTATGGAACCACTCAAAGAGGATTCAAAAGCGAAAAATTCTTCAAGCTTGGTCAACTTTGCAATTTCGGTCGGTATCGTCCCGAACATACCTGTCCTGTCGAATTCGAAAGTGGTTAGTGCAGTGAGCAAACCCAACTCGGTAGGAATGGATCCCGAGAGATTTCGGTTTTCAAATGGTGCCACTTTGGCAAGACGCGAGAGTAACCCCAATTCTGTAGGCAAGGTTCCAATCAAGTTGTTGGCTACAATCGTGAGATCGAGAACTTGGTTATCCTGACAATCGTTAATGCCAAACCACCCCGTACATATAGACCTTGGCGAGAGCCAGTTTCGGTTCTCCGTCCATCGATCACCACCGGTCGCGTAGTAAAAGACAGCCATGGCATATCTCTCACGCCATTGATCTTCCGCATTGAATGCATTGGCAGCAGGCGCCCATGTATCGGTATTAACAAGCCAGTTGAATGCGTCGGTTTGCAGTGGACGGTGTTCAGAAAGTAGGGAGTTCAATAACCCTCTCCGCGACCCTGGAGAGGCTGGTGTCCCAGGTGTTGGCGTTGGATAGTCAGTCGGATTTGGTGTTGGCGCTTCGGTAGGTGAAAGGTTGTCGATCGTCGCAATCGATACCCCTTTGAACTGAGTAGTCGACAGACCAAAGACGCCAACATTTGCAGCTTTATCCGAGCCAGCGACTTCGTAAAATATATTGACAATATCAAAGAAGGATACAAACTCGTCCTTTACATACAAGCCCATAAGGACCTGCACGCGTTTGCATGGTTGATCTGCACCACTGCTACAAGATTCGTCTGGTAGATAGACCAATGCTGAATCCGCATCGGCAATAGCATATCGGAGATCACTCTGCAAATCTCGATTGTTTTCTTCCTCCAATAGACGACGACGACGACATCCTGCCAGAGCAGGAACGAAATTGCTTTGCAGTCCTTGCTCAAACGGTGCCAGCCACAAGGTGGTGTCTTGATCTGCCACCAGACTGACATCAAATGAAACGCTGACAGAAGTTGTATTCAAGAATTCTTGATCGTTCAAAGGAACACCATTTGCAATCGCAAAGCATTCGGCATCACTGGGAGGTTCGAAAAAAAGAAATGGTGTTGGAGCAACGGTTGGTGGAGGCGTGGGAGCTGGAGTGTTTGTAAACAAAGGTTCAGGTTCCTCAGAACCACCTTGTCCGACGAGATATCCAGCCACTCCTCCTCCTATGCCTAAAAGTATGAGACAGAAGATGACGCCTGGGTATTTCTGATGGCATTTCTCATGTTCGTCGTCGTCGTCCTCATCCTCTGAATCATCATTCAGGTTTGCAGGTCTGACTTGTGCGGCTGGTACCGCGGCATTTCGGCTGGCAATCATGGCTTGCATTTGCGCTTCCAATTTTCGGACACGCTCATCCTCTTCGGCAGTGTCGTCAACCGCAATTGCCTGGACTTCGTATCTCGAAGGAGCCAAGGGTTCACTTCTAACAGGCGGAGCCAAGTTATTCGATATTTCATTATCGAAAGAATCAGTAGTAGACACTCCTACACCTACACCTACACCTACACCTACACCTTGTTGTAGCTTCCGAGTTGTCTTGTCATCGCTTGCTGTAGACACGGATGCTCCAGGGATTTCAGTTCGCGAATTACGCTGTTGTTTTCGAGTGGTATAATCTTCACTAAAAGCGGAAGATTGAGCTCCTGGCTTGGCAGCCGGCTGATTGGAACGACTGCGACGAACAGCTTCCTTTGCCTCTCGGTCTCTTACCGCAGCAGCACCACGAGAAGCCGCTTCACTCGGAAGTATTCCAGGTACTGCAGGAGGTCTAGCTCTGTCCTTGGTTTCATTATCGCTGTTGGAAGAACCACTGCTTCCATCGCTCATTTTGATTCAACTTTTAACTCTGTGATGGAAGAAGACTCGATGTAAGTTCGATGAAGTTGCTTTTTTTATTTTACGAAGATGAAGTGGCTTTCGTTTGGACGGGTCAAAGTGATGAAAGATTGAATCCTGTCAAATACGGCGGTTTTTCTATTTAAACGAAATTGTCACAACAGACAAATTACTTAGGAGCTCAGCCATTTTTCCCGTTTTCTTTCGGTCTTGTTTGATGAATCATCATCAACAATCAATCACGAACATCATAACACCTTGATAACAGTGAACAGCTACAGTACGTACTTGGCTGGTACCACTCTTTACTCTAAGGCCATTTATCATTTCTTGAAAAACTTGCTGCTACTATATAAACTACAAATACAGCAGCACTAGTACCTTTTCATATCTCCACCCTATGGGTGGGTGCCTATGGGTATCGACTCCTGGTACACACGACTCACACGTCCAACCACCAGGCACACCACCTACCCTGTTTTTAATTGTACCGGTACATAGCTTATCAAGCGATTATGATGATTTATATTGAATCCGATTTTATCACAACTTGACCTTTCCCAAGGAAGAGCATGAACACTGCACCTCTTCCAGAACCTGTAGTCCTCCCATTAGAAACGCGTATTTTTCAATGACTTTCCTAGATCCACAGGTAAATCAGGTCAACGCGAAGCAATGTGCAAAGGCTCCTTCTCCGATGTTATGAACAATTTCTTCAAACGTTACTCCTTATAAGAAAGTGCACCATTTGAAGATCTCGTCAGTAAGGACACAAACGGATCCATCAGCCTTACATTTATAGGAACTTGATCGGTTTCAGCTTGAAGCGCAGATATTGACACGTCACCGTCATCTTCGCATTCGGATGATTCGGAATCAATCGAATTCACCAGCACAAGCTGAGATAGCCTTGTTGGTTTTAGCTACACATATCCTTTTTTGTGTTTGGTGTAAGAGTCCTGCAGTCGTAGTTTGTATTCTCCTTCTTTTTGTAAGGATGTTTGGCGACTTGGTGTGGTTTTGGCACATCGATTTGAATTCCGGCGGTCCTGTTGTCGGACCACGGCAATAAAAGCCCACAAGTCTTACACCTATGATTTGACTCGACACAATCGCAATTGAAGACCTTTTTCTGCTTCGTTGTTGGTGAAGGAGTCGCAACAATCGTAACAATATCCTTCCTCTTCCTTCTCGTGCTCACCATCGTCAACGATGATGGCCAATGACAAATTTCATAATTTCGAGGTAATACTCTAAAAATAACCATTTTGGATCTGTATGGTGCTATTTTTTAAAATCTGCCGATTTTCTATTGGGGAAATGTTAGTTTTAGGTGGAGTTGGGTCTTTTAAAAAAAAATGTGTGTTGTTTTTAGCTTTCTCAGTTTTGAAACTGCGTCTTTTTTAAAAAATAAAATAAAATTGTGTGTCACAGTTCCGACTTTTCGCGCTACTGCCGACCGACTGACTGACTTTAGTACTTATGTAGTCGCTAATTTTGACCTTTTCTTTCGCAGCTCTCGAAAGAACTGAGCAATCTTTGTCTCTGCATGTTCACTGTCGCTCTCCACCCATTCGTCAGATCCCGCTTTCTGAAGAAATCGAACACCACTGTTCCGAAGCATTTGGGTGAGTTTGATTGCAATATCTCGTCTGTTCTGTCGTGGAGTACTTTCATATTCGCCTCGATGCTGCTGTAAGAACTCTCGAAAACGGACATTGCCAGGATGCAACTGTAGCCGATACCCTTTTCCAAACAAAACATCCATCTCGGTTGGTTTGACTAACTTTGACACACGATTCGTTTGGGCAGTATTCTGCCAAGGTTCCGCCACTAAAGCCTCTTTTGCATCATTTTCATTCTTCTCATAGTGCCTATGCTGGTGGTTTAAACGTTCACTTCCTATCTCCATGTCTTGAGACCAGCCCTGAGCGGCCTCGGAGTGGTGGAAGCGAATGCTTTGATTGGTCTCTCTGAGATGCCTGTCGAACCAGACGTTCAAAATGTCATTACGAATGCTCCCTTGTTCTCCAAACGGTATAGTGGACAAGGGGATACCAAAGCTTTGGAGCTGGTACCGAAGCTCCATGATGGACCCATAATGTATTCGACTTCTCGCACGCCCATCTTGGGGCGTTCCCTTAAGAAATAGACTAACAAGAACGTTGTTCAACGCAAGATGATGTGATTTGGCCTGTACACAGTAGTGGATTCCAGAGAATCGAACTGGTTCAGAGTCATAGGTTGTTTGGATTTCTTTGAAGAAGCTGAATCCAGGCAGCGTAAAGGTTTCCTCGGGTAGTGTACTATCGTTGTAGACTACCACGATTCCCTTCCTTTGTACATCCGGGAGGGATGACATAATATTGTACATAATGTAGTGGCCGATGCGAATCTAAATAATGAAGAATTGGTCGTTGAGCAACCATGCATGTCACTGTTTCGAAATCGAAAGAAGAGTGGAGTACTTACCAGGTTGTCAGCTCTACATCGACTAAGCATTTTGCCGAAGAAATGTAGGATGAGTCTCCCATTTTGATCTCTCCCATCTTGGATGTGGTATAGTCCCGATAGCATCAGCTGCTTGTCCTCCTCACTCAGATCATCCAATGTTATATCACGAGCAACCTTGTCATGACCGAAGAATTTCGCTTTGCACTCGAGAAGGAGCATCATCTTCCGAACTGCTTCACGAACATTGTACAGCTTGGCTCTCAAGAACCTCAGACGAAACGTAGGATCCTCCACGTATGCTCTGTTCTGATTGAAGGCCATCTCATATATTGGATTTCGTTCCTTCTTTACTGCCTCTTGAAACTCCGCAAGCGATTTCTGAATCATTTCAGGCGTCTCTTGGATTTCTTCTCCTACACAGTGTAGGTCATCCATTGCCTTCGACCGCTCTTCCACCGACAATTGACTCATCTCTGAAGCGAGAAGCTCTTCGGTTTGTTTCATTGCAGGCTTGATGGTGATGTAATCGTTATTAGTATTCTTCCTCGGCATTTGGAAGTGATGTGGAGTGTTCTTGTCTTTTGGTGCTTGATCATCGTTGTTGAAGCATGGTAGACATGCTTGTTTTGCGAAAGGACTGTTGGGGAGCGAGGATGCCATTGCCCTTCGATGAGGATAGAGTCGTAGTCGTAAAGATGAATTTTATGCCGTTGGGTATTATTTGTGAGAGGAGCCACAAAACGGGCTATTAGCAAAGTGTACGTGTAAATGGCGTATGGTGACTTTGGACTAAGGAAGACTTTCAGGAGCATTTTTAGAGTTATGTCTGTACGAGCGCTCATGGGCCGATGCTTCGGTTTACTAATTACTGGAATTTCACTTGGTGAGAGGAGCCACGAAACGGGCAGTTGAATTTAGGGGAGCCTTTTTTGGTTGTGAGCTTGGACTAAGGAAGACTCAGGAACATTTCGAGTCCTGTATGTCCGTGACACTCATTCGCCAAGGCTTCGGTTTACTTACGGGACTTTCACTTTGAATCTGACAATTCCATCAAATCGGGGTTTCCCGTCACCATCCTTCTTTAGGTTTACAGCGTTGGCATATTATTCTCTGGTATCCTGCAACGCCCATGGGCTGGATCGGCAGTGTTCGAAACGCTAGCACTGACATATTGAATGGTCGAAGAACGTGACTTCTCAATGAGCGGGGAACGCTTTTACAATCGTTCATGATCAGTCGAGGCTCAGCCAATATACTGTAGCTAGTTGGACGAATCAACTTCTAACTACAGTAGGTTGGCGATGTTGCCACCGGTACTCGTTCGGAGGCGCAGGAACTTCATTAGGCACTATTCTATCCGAGATAGCCTACTGGCGCCTTCCTCTTGGTGTTCATATCTTGGTTCTGTCTTCGTGGTGGAGTCAAGTTGAAGTAGCTAGCGGGTTGAGCTGGTGCTGTGAAACGGGATTTCTGAGACCTGCTCGACCACAGCAGGGTACCATCCGTGACTAGAGAAAGGCGACGGGGCCCAACAGGAGGTGGGTGATGGAGGGGGGGTGATCTGTTGATATTCGATGAGTTGAAATAGACTGTACTGTCATATGCCGTTGTCTCGCTGATGCAATCTTGGCTGATGTATGTTGAGGGTCAAAGAATGACTGGCGAAGGCCGTACGGCCTTCGGCCATAAAATTATGATAGCTAATGTTTGATCTAAGGTCATCGTGTTTTCTTGAAATCCAAAAGCAGCGCAAACATCCCTCATCAACCCAACCTCCCCAAAGACAGCTGCCATATTTTTCCGACTTTCATGGTATGGATAAAGTCTATGCTGCTCATACCATAATTTGGCAAGTGTGTGACTTCCAGCATCCAATCAAGATAGTAGATACAAACAATCAGGCCAACTCTGTCATGCTGTTTTTTAAATCTTCACTTTTTTCATTCTTGTTCGGCTTCTTCCTTGGGCACTAACAGTTTGACCCAATCGTACAATGTCGCTTCTGCCAATTTGCCTCCCACAACTTCTGCTTGCACTTCCCCCCTTTTAATAAACAAAAAGGTCGGCCATCCCGTGACCCCATACTTGCTCACGGCATCTGTATTCTCGTCGACATCCACCTTGAGAAAGACGACCTTGTCTGAGAATTCTTCACTCTCACTTAATTCTTCATAGAGTGGAGCTACCTTTTTGCAAGGTGGACAGTCCTTGGAAGTGAAATCAATCACTACCAACTTTTTCGTGTTTTCCTCGAGAATGGTATCAATTTGTTCCAACGTGGCGGCCTGTAGTGACAAGAGAAAGCAAGCAACATTTGGTTGGTGATTAGCATCTATCCATTTCACAGAGTGTTGACAATCTCAAAGATCGACACTGCTTTCGTACCTGAATGATATCCCCACCTCGAATGGACAACAACACTGACGACGGTTGCAAACCAAACTGAAGCTGGTTGTTGGTACTCTGGTGGTGTACATTACGCCAAGCATCAGCCACGGAAATGGTGCAATATATGATCACAATAGCATGGAATAGGGATCGCATCATTCAATGAATGGTAATAAGTCGCAATTTGAAACTGTATTCTTCATTCAATAATCATCAGATTGAAGTGGAAGATTACGAGTACTGTGACATGGTCCATCGTTCGTCATTCAACCCGCAAAATTCGCGCCATCTTCGGGGTGTGTTTGACTCAACCGAATGATCCAAAACTCTTTTGAAAACCCACTCGAATTTTCCACTCGATCATAATCATCATTACAGCCTTGTTGTTCGTCTTTCAACCACGCAACGATGGCATCGTCATCATCATCCCAAGGGACACCAACCAATTCCCACCAGTTGCTACTGAGCAAATTGACACCAGACTACGAGGGAAATCAAACGTGTCATCAATGTTTGCGCAGCAAGGTCACTCCGTCGGCAATGGTCGTGGCCGTTCTTCAAGACAATCCTTCTCAATGGTCCGCCCAAGTTTTGATGGAAGCGCACCAGTTACTATTGACAGATTACATTCCGCTTGCAGCCAAAAATAATAAGGAGTTTCCAACAACAACAACAACAACAACAACAACAACAACAACAACGATGCAAGCCTTTGGCAAATGGGGAACGGCCATTTATTTCATGCAATTCTTACTGGCAGGAAAGGATTTATTGCCATCGAATCAAGTCTTACAAATAGCGACACAGTTGATTCAGACCATGGCAACGGAACTGGCCAGTATTCCTTTGCCCTCCACTCCACAGCAGTCACGACCATCCAGTCAGAACAGCAAAAATAGTAGCACAACAGAAGGGAGCAATGAGGAAGAGGAAGCAAATTTACTCCAACAAGACGCCACCCAGTCCTTGGATCGGCGTTTGGTTGCCTGCTATTATTTTCAATCTCTATTGAGGCTCAATCCATTCGCCCAGTCTCAAATTGGATTGGTGGCCCCACTTTGGAAGGGAATTTGCAACGTCCACAAGGCCTGTCCTATTGGTATGGAGGCGTCACTTTTAGAACAAGCGATCCAACAAGTCTTGAAAATGCTCAAGGAGGGTTGTCCGCGACTGATGAACACTTTGATTATAATTGTTGGTTCTAACAACAGCAACAACAACAATACTGCCAATGTCAACTTGGTGGCAAGTTTTGTCATGCAAGGCAAACTCATCTCGTTCTTGGCATTGCGGCTTGCCAATCTCATGGGAACCACAGCTTGTGGTGCCGGCGGTATTGCCAAAAAGACGAGATCGAAAGCCTACAAGCAGTTGCTGTTGTTGCAAGGCATGTATTTTGCGACGCAAGGTCAAGCAACATTGCCAGCACCCATTCAAAAAACCTGCTTCGAAATCACCACCAAAACAACCAAGGCCTTGGTGGAAGTGATTGTGGACTCAAAAGACGATTGCATCCATAGACCAGCACTTGACGCTTTGATTCCAATTGCCATGGCCACACCAAAGGATGAAAATGATGCACACGCCAAACTAGCCTACAAGAGTCTTCACTTGGCTAAGGTGCAACTCGTACTTGCGATACTGGAAAGATTCTCCACCAAGAATGCAGAGTGCTTGCTACAGAACATGGACACACTCCTCGTTCTTTGCGAGTCGCTATATGCCATTTTTCTTCCACAATGCTACGGTTCGCTCTTGGAGTCATCATGGTGGAAAGACTGCAAGATCGCAAAAACAGTCTTGGGGGTTTGTCTCAAGCCCATGGCGAACGTGTTGGTGCGGATGGACAGTGCCTTGTCTTCTTCTTCGACTTCCAACAGCAAGAAAACCCAGTTGCATCGACTACTCATTCGTTGGCTAGCTCCCTACCGATCCACCGAGTTACATCCACTCTCACAACAAGTCATTTTGACAGTGTAACACCTATTTCTAATGACAAGCCCAAATCCTAGTTCATTGGTGTCCTTGATGGTCAAGTTGCTCTTTGATCCGCGCACCAAAACGGGGCTCCGAGATAACTTGTCGGCACTCTTTGTGACCATTCTAGCAACTTCAAACAACAGCAATGCTCCATTGAAAGAGATTGTACATTCACTAATTGAGACAGAAGTACAGGGGAGGATTCCCAAGGGAGATTCCAAAAAGCGGCCGAGAAATGAGATGAATTTGTCGTACAAGCACTACAGCTTTGCAGATCTCAAGGCCATTGCGTCCGTCCTGGTCCACATTTCAATATCGTCACAAGACTGCTTGATGGAGGCCATGCAACAACTAGTCCAACAGCTACAGTGTGGAAAGGAAAATCCAAAGTCGATTCCCAGAATCGCCAAAGTCGAATGGTCCTGCATGGTCCTGGCATTGATGCGAGGAACGCTCTTGGGGGACGCCGACAAATTCCAATCCAAAATGGGCATGAGTTTGTTCGAGTTTCAACGGCGGATCATCTTGGTCGCGACAATGACGAAGCAAAGTACTACACAAGGAAACAAACATCGAGCCATAATCAAGCACTGCATGCTTTGTTCGGCGGTGATACGGTTCTCCACACATGTGTGCAATGGACTGTATCAAAATCGAGAAGGAGCGGCCCGACTGGTTCCAATCCAAGACCTTTGTCGATTGCTGAAGCATTGCACTAGCACTGCATTTCTTTCAAATTATTTCTCATCGTTCGATCCATCGCAACAGTGTCAATCATTGGTTCTCTTTGATGCGATCCGTTTGCTAGAAGCTATTGGGTTTGCCATACCACCAGGGTGTCCAACAACAGTTCTTGATGTAAGTCCACAACTTTTGTATCACTTGATTTGTGCAAAGACGGATATACTGACGTAGTTTTTGCTTGCCAACAACAGACTGTGACGGAAATCTTTGTGCGATTGCTTTCGCAAAACAATTGGGCCATTGTATCACACACGATTGGTTCTCTAGTATGCTTTGGACAACGGTTGGACAAGGCACATCAACAAATCTTGCCATCGTGTCTCCCAGCAGCACGACAATCACTATTCCGGAGACGGATGCTGTCTAATCGAGGCCAAATACACTACAGACAGGTACGTGGAATCTTGACATGACAATGTCTTATATTAACAATTGGTCCTATGCTTCACTAAACATCATAACTTAGTATGGCAATAATGATTTGGTTTCTTTGAACATCGGACGAACACTCTTGAGTGGGCACTGTGAGAAGAGGGAGATCGGGAAAAGCATCTTCCCAGCGACTTCTAGAATGGACATTGCACAAGGATCCTACTTTCTCAAAATGTCTACTCAAGAAGGACGCCATGCGTGGGTTATCTTTGAACCTGGGCCAGAATCCATCCAAGACATCAAATATATGAATGGCTTGGAGGAGGAGGACGATGCGCCTGAGGATATTCAAAAGCTGAAACGAGCATTGGTAGTAGAAAATGGGGGTTTGAAGTGTTTGCTTCAATCCCTTTAGTTGACAAGTTGAAACTCTTCAGCCTTATTTTCACTTGCTAGTCCTATCTACCGGTTCGATTGGAAAACATGGATAGATATTACATTGTACTTCTGTAGAAGGATCGGATATATTCAACTGGCTCAGGTTGAAGACTAATGGTGTTCCAAGAACCTCATTGAGTTGCTTGGAGGTTGGAGTATGGCATCGCTCATTTGCCATGCCACCCTCTTCTGTTATGTTGTCCTCGCCCTAGCAATAGTCTACCTTCTGCAGCTGGCAGCTAAAACCGAATCCATTGACGACTAGGCCAATCTCAACCAAGATGATGATCAGTTCCCGAATCCCTTTTCGTTGGAGTCCTGGCAATGAAACGCAAGGATTTTGGCGAGCTTGAGAAGCAAGTAAGAGGAAGAAAAGCTGTCGTTATTTTGTTGCAAGAAGTTTGTAGAACGATACAAACCCAGCTGACGCATGCGCAATGTTGGTGCAATACGAACCAGCCCCGTCAATTTTGGCAGGACGATATCCATACGAACAAGCCCCGTCAATTTTGGCAGGACGATATCCGCGCAACCATTGGATCCAGTAGCAAGTAGTTTCAGCGGGGGCATGGCATCAACGTCAGGAACTATCTTCAATGACACGGCCACTCCATTCTGATCGCAGACTCTGAAAACTAGTCCAAAAGCTCAGCTGCCCAAGTATCCGTATCCATGGCCGCTGTACAATCGACTGCGATGCTACACCCATTAGCACTATTTGCTCCTGTCACATAAACATACAACTTGAGAATTCAAGCCAGTGGTACAATTTACTGGGATGTCACATCCAATAGTAGTATTCAAACCCATTGTACAATTTCCACTGACGTTACACCCAACTGTACTGTTTAGGATAGTCGTACAATTGACTCCAATATCACATCCAATTGTAGTATTGAAACTGGTGGTACAATTGCCTCCAATGTTACATCCAATTGTAGAATTGACACCAGTGGTAGTATTGCCTCCAATGTTGCATCCAATTGTTCCATTCAAATGCCTGCTAGGACAATTCCCTTCGACGTTGCATCCCGTTGTACTATTTGCCTCAGTGCAGAAGCAGTTACCGGTCTCACCAACTGGTGCTAGTTCGCAAGTTTTTAGGTGAATAGGCAAGAAAGGAACGGAACCATAAAGCCTATTGTTGCCAACGTCCAGCGATGTGAGGCTTGTCAAGCTCTCAATACCCTCTGGAAGCGGCCCTGTGAAAGAGTTGTTATTTAACTCAAGCTGCTTCAGATGAGACAGTGCTAAAATGTTGGTCGGAATGGTACCCGAGAGACTGTTAGAGAATAACATAATCCTGGTACATGATGTCAACATCCCTGTGCAACGAAAAGGGGAACGAATAAGAATGAAAAGTTTAAGCAGCAAACAGGTGGTATCATGGACGTACCAAATTCAGTGGGCAATGTGCCACTGAGGCCCTTGTTTCGAGCAAGATTGAGGCGCGTCAATGCTGTCAAGGCTCCCAGCTGAGTGGGGATCGTTCCAGCCAACTTGTTACCGTGCATAAACATGCCCGTGACATTGTTGAGCATTCCCAGCTCAGAGGGTATTGTTCCTACCAGTTCATTGTTGTCCAGGTTCAACCGCGTAAGTGTTTGCAACATTCCCAAGGCAGTAGGTATGGACCCACGTAGATTACTTGCGACTGGTGGAAGAGCATTCAAAATTGTTAACAACAGAAAGGTGAAAAGTAACAATGGGCAGCACTCTTACCAAGGTCAACAAACACAACATGTTCCATCGTGTTGCACAAGATCCGATGCCAATCGCATACCGATAGCGATCCCATCCAGTTTCCTTCGTTGAACCAGTTGTCGCCATCTGTGTCAAAGTAGAGGCTAGCAAGCACATAGCGCTGTAGGTAGTATGTCTTACGGTCAGTCGACCAATGTGGAGGTGCCCACGTATCATTTCTAAGCCATGCCACAGCTCTTTCATTGAGCGGTGCATAATCGGCGAGAAGTATTTCCATATCCAAAGCTGGACAATTGCCCTCAATTTCACAGTCTTGGCGATTGGCCAAGTTTGAAAAACAATTGCCAGTTTCTCCCAGCGGCGCCAGCTCACATATCTCCTTGTTGTATGATAAGGGCGGGATAGACCCAGTGAATTCATTATTTGCGATCATGAATTCTCTCAATGTCGAAACACGCAGGAGGTCGGTTGGCAAACTACCAACCATGGAGTTATTGTGTAGATCAAGGCGTGTCATTTGTGTCAATTCGCCAACTTGAGATGGAAGTGTTCCAGAAAAAGAATTGTCATATAATTCGACTCGAATCATGCCAGCAAGAAGTCCTGGAGTAGGTGCGGGAGAATGTAAGACTAGCTGTTCCAGGTAAATTATGCTAACGCAAATTCTCCTCTACCAACCAAGGACTCACCAATCTCCGAGGGAAGAGATCCTGAAAAAGCATTTTTGAATAAAAGAAGTCTCTCCAAATCACTTAGCCTGCCAACCTCCGAGGGTAGTTGACCTGATAGCGAATTTTTGAAGAATTCGAGGCGATTCAGCGAAGTCAGTTGGCCAACCTCCGATGGTAAAGGCCCAGTGTAGTTATTGTCGTGCATGATAAGTCTTGTTGCTGCTGTCAACAAACCAAACTCGGTCGGAATCGTTCCACTGAGACGATTCTCGATGAGGTTTAGTCGCGTTAATGATGTTATGAGACCAACGGTGGTCGGGATGGGTCCGCTTAGATTGTTTTTAGCAAAGAAAAAGCCTTTTAAAGCAGTCCACCTTCCTGCAAAATAATAGTGAGCATCACATCACGTCGGCCGCCACATATGCTCTTTTGGACAAAGGGGTACTCACCAATCTCTGTGGGCAAGGTTCTGAAACCATTGCAGTTAGATTCAATTCACAACACTGTCAGCACTTTGAACTTGGCCATATCAAACGTACCCGGTCAATTTGTTGAGATCTGTTCGTTGTGGGTGATGATAGAGACTGGCAGGTGAGAAATCGGAGATAGACTAGATCGACAAGATGATGCCTACTCACCAAAGTTAATACGTGTAAGGCTTGTCAACAAACCCAACTCTGTCGGTATCGTTCCGACAAAGTTCTTTTCCACTATTATGAAGGAAAAGCAAAAACATTAGAGAAGCAATCGAATGGACAATACGATAGAGGACATAGCAGCAATACCATACCAGAGTCGATCTCGATCACATGCTGAGCATTGTCACAAACAATCTGTTGCCATTGACAAACAGATCTAGCTTCTAGCCATCCTTCGTTATTGGTAAACCAATTTTGTCCCTGTGTGTCAAAGTAGAGAACCGCAAGTGCATACCTCTCCAGGAAGAAGTCAGATGCATCAGCGCAGTCAATAGAAGGCAACCAGGTGTCATTCTTAGAGATCCAAGCAAATGCTTCCTCGTGCAACTTCGAAACATCAGAGAGCAAAATTTCTTTTGCAGGCAAATCTGTGCACGTTGGGTCCAGAGAATTTTCATAGATCACAGACCCAGTTACCGATCCGGCAATGACAATCATGAGACACACAGCGCATAATATAATTTGACGCGTGTAATTCGGTTCTGTTGCATCTTCTGCAACCACAAGTGCAATATCGCCCTGCTGTCGCTGTTTTGCTTTGATAGCTTGGTTTTCTTGACGGAGACGTTCAACTTCAGTGTCGTCCACAGCCTCAGCCTCAAGCTCCGGAACGGAACTTCGACCAGCCACATTTCCATCTGATTCGTGATCTAGTGGAGCAGTTTCCACTGCCTCGCGACTCGGTGGAGACCAAAAAGACGATCCTGAATCTGTACTCATAACTTCAGAGGAAGTTGCAGTGTTGTCTTGAGTCGAGTTCGTATGCCTGCTATGTCCGATAGTTCTTGGTTCCTGCCTCGTGGGTGCTATTCCACTTGAAACCCGATGGGCCCCCGGAGCATCTTCATCTTCACTTCCAGCAGTACTGATGCCACGAGTTGCAGTTGTATTCCTTTGTGTTTTTCGCTTTTCCCTCGAGAGTGCCGCTGTTGTTCCACTTGATACACTTTGAGCACCCAACTCATTTCCACCCGCAGTAGAACCACCGGCTCGACTTGCATTGGTATTTCTTTGTGTTTTTCGTTCTTCCCGCGAGACTGTTGTTCCACTTGAAATCCGTTGCGCACCTACCTCATTTCCACCTCCAGAAGAGTCACTGCCTCGAGTTGCATTAGTACTCCTTTGTGTTTTTCGCGACTCCCTGGAGGTTTGTTCGAATGACCGATGGGCACCAGGGATTCGATTGAATCTCCCTTCGTTGTCGCTCATTCTCGCTTCTTCATCTTTTAGCAACGCTGAAGAAGTGTTTTTTCGAGAAGCTTTATTACTAGAAAAAACACCGGGGAGAACTGGCGATGTTGCATCAGGCTGGGGTCCTTTCGCCCTTGGTGAACGCCTTGCAACTTTCGTACCAGTATCGTCAGAGCTGCTTGGAGGGACAGATATTCTTTTCTCTCGTACTAACCCTGTCATGTCAATACCGTGAACCATGGTAACATGAGGTAATTCTGTATCAAATGTTGGGAGATTGTCTGTTGCGGCGTCATTCTTCTTTGGACTGGTGGTTTCCTCGCTCTCCACCCCCTTTTCTAAATCTTCACCTTCTACCATCTCTTCTGCCATCTTTGCCTTGATAGACCCTATACCAATTGATTGGTGACGTACAGTCTCCAACAAATAAAAACGAAATGAGAAACACAAACAAATATTGGAGCAAATCGATTTTCTGCGCTACCATGAGTCAGCGATAGGAGAGACGTCATAATAGTAGCAGCGTTATATTAAAAAAAGATGACTAGTCGAGTCACGTATTAGAGAGAGTCCCGTGTTCCCAAACCACAGAATTTATATAATTTGAAAACATCATCATCGATCTCATCTCTCATCACGACGGTTGGTTCTGATTGAGTTGAATTGCTTTCCTAGAAGATGTTCTCGCCAAAGTGTACGCGCTTAGTGACTCGTCTCAGGATAGGAACGCATCATCAATTTGGGCGGCGACACCTACCAACCATTCATATCGCTTCCGACCGACTTGACACAAACAGTGATTTTCAAAGGACGAACCTTAGTATGGTTCGTGGATTCTCCAGCAGTGACGAGGACAAGGTACCACCACACAAACACATCATCCCTCCAATACCCGAATCACCAAAATACATCGTTGAACCCCCTATCCGAACGCGTCCCTTTCGGAACTTTCGTGGAGGCCAGATACCTCGACGAGCACCGAAACGACGAGTTTCACAGCCATCAATCTCCCTTCAAGAGCACGGGACTTATCCTGTGCAAGCTATCCATATTGCTCAATCAATCAATATTCCGAAAGTAATATCGAAAGTTTTTTCCACGAAGGCGGCCCGAAAAATGATGGAGCGGCTCAGTGTCGTGGTTCAGTTGCCTCGAGATGAAAAGCATCCAAGCTACAGATTCATTGCCGTCTTTCGCTTTGGGCCAGTTGTATTTTTTAATGTATCTCCAAGAGAGATTGTAACATTTGTGGAACAAATCAAGAAATGTTCAGAGGAACCTTTTCTGCAGGGAAATGAACCTCGGGAGAGTTTCTGTGTCCACGTGCAACCAGAGATACCAGTGGATAGTGATAAAATTGTCACTGGAGAATATTGTATCGTTCAGGAACTGAACATGAAGTCCGTTGATGTTATTTCTAATGTCATGGCACAGTCCATTGCATTGGATTCATACAACGATATGGTGGACGAGTTATTGTCACAGTTCGAGAGACTGAACAAGAAAGTGACGACGACTGGTAGTTTGAAGGAGACTCAAAGAGACTCCTTGTTCCGCACGGTTGCCCAAAACAACAGCATCTTTATTGAAATGGTTAGCAGGGTCGGAATTAAGGATCGAGTAGACACCGCTTGGAATTTGAGTCAATACGAGGAAATACATGACGGTATGAAGGTTGAGTTTGATATTGATATGCGATTTGAACAGATTGAGTTCAAGTTGAACCTAATCCAGCAGAACGCCAAATTTTTCCTTGAGGTGCTGTCGGAGCAGAAGAGCAATACTCTTGAATGGATTATTATTGTACTGATCTTGTTTGAGTGTATTCTCATGTGTGCCGAAATGAGTGGTGCAGGCGAAGTATTTTTTGCCAGCATGGCTTGCAACCTTGAAAAGTACCTTTAAGCATCGAGACCAGACCTACGCAAGATGAGCAAGAACCCACAGATTTCCAACTGCTGGGGCAGGTGTATTTCAATTGCCTTTGAAACAGTCTACGTTGTAAATCTGAGTTAACCAAGACAAATAACGAGGGCAGGTTCCTCTTTGGCACCTGCGCCTATAACTTTTCCCTTTGGGCGACTAGACCCAGGACTCCTCATCAGCACAAACTTGCTTGTGATGTGTACGATAATTGGACATACATCGTGCAAAAAGTGAAACTAAACTAAAATTAATTTAGATCTATTATGTGTTGATCTGTGTGATCAAGACTGCCTTACTAGCTAGTGAATATGCCATGGAATTTATTGATTCTTTCCTGTAGCACGGCGAAAGAAGCTGCCCCCAGCGCTTCCAAGCTTTCGTTTACCGTTTAAACTACTTCCAGAATTTGAAAAGCTAGACCTGCTGCTGTCAGCCTTGAACACAACATGACTGAGAGCAACATTCTTGACAACCGAAGAACCTTGATCCTTGCTGTCTCCGGCCTTATCTCCTCCGAGAAAACTTGTTTTACGCTTCATGTGACTACGATTGCCGCGAAGAGCAACTGACAGGCTACCACCCTTATCAAGGAATGACCCCCCAAAAGAACTGCCAGTACTCTTCTGGCGCTTCAGTGATGTGCTCAAGTTTGAGCTCGTGCTTCTCTGACGCTTCAGAATAGTCGACCCAAGGTTCGAATTTGATGATATGGAGCTCCGAGATGACGTACTTCGATTCCGCACAAGACCATTCTGTAGAGAAGTAACAATTTTGGTGAGGTTTCCAATTGAAATCAAAGTTCACTATTGGCTGCTAAACTTACTTTCATTTGACTGAGTTCCTTCTTCATGCTTTCGTCCTCGTCGATCATGCGTTGCTGGGAGAACTCTTGACTGTCAGCATACTGTTCTTCCAGTCGACACATTCTTGCTCGTTTTGCAAATCTCTTTGCAAGTCGCTCTTGTGTTCTCTCTTCTGAAGCTTCTGTCATTTCCTCTGTGCTCACGCCTTTGGTGGACAAAAGTGAAGAAGTTTCAATTAGATTGGATTGCGTCCAGAATGGAATAAAATAGCAGCAGCATTAACTCACCTTTCGTTTCTTCGCTTTCCTTCTTGTCGCCTTCATCTTCGTCATCTGAAAAGTTCTCAAGCTCCACATTGCTTCTGTGCAAGAAGCGATCTTTCAGCATGGAATCCAAGAGTTTTGCCTCATCGTCTTCATCATCGACGTCGCCCTTCTTGTTCTCGTTATTTTCATCGTCACTATCCAACTCATCTGCATTCAACAGACCAAGGCGTTTGGCATCCTCTCGGTTGTCCGCTGCGACCAACTGATCGAATCGATGCATACCCCGGGCACCAACTCCGCTACCAGCAATTCCTCCTCGGCGCCCATCGTAACCTTCGCGCATGCGTCTGATCATGTCTTTGTGCCTTTCCTTCTCCTCGCGCTGCTCTTGTTTCTTTCTGGCAATTCGGCCGGCTTCTTCGTCTCCTTCCCCATCTGAGACATCGTCGACAACATGCTCGAGATCGTCATCGTCCACCTTCAAAGAATCAGGGTCCTCGTCTTCATCATCTCCGTTTCTTTTCTTCTTGATGGAGAAACCAAAATCTTCCAAACCGGCGACTTCTTCCTCCTCCTCTTCTTCTGCTTCTTGCTCGACCAGGTCGTTGCCACCCTTGCGTCGCTTCTGCTTTTTGTACTTCTCAGCCTCCTTTTGAAGCATCAACTTCCACCCTGCGTTCCGATCTTGCTTTGGTTTCTCTTGCTTCTCCTCTACAAATTCCAACTCGCCATCGTCCTCACTATCCTCCGAGTCCTTGCCTTCGGCCACTTGGGGCTTGATATCAGCACTTTCCTCCGAAGCTTCAGTGGTACCGGCAACTTCTCGTTGAAAAGACTCCTTGTCAACACCATCACTGAGTTGTGACAATTCTTTTCCAGGTTCAGCAGTGACTTCACGGACAACAGCTGCTGGGGGAGGCATCTTTTGCGCGGAAGGTGGAATTTGCGTCTCCAATCGTTGTGTCTCCTCTTGGGTTCCATGTTCAACTGAGAGTTCTGCTGGACCTGGCGGCTGAGTCTCGAGGCGTTGTACTTCGTCTTGAGTCTCAGTATCTGGCAATCCCGGTAGCTGTGGTGACTCCAAAGGTTGGGCTTCGTCTTCTTGTGAAAAGTCAGGGCTAAAGTCCTCTGGCCCATCTTCTTCGTCGGGAATTGGAGTCTTGTCACGAAATTCTGTGTCTTGCACAAGCGAATCTACTGATTCTTGCGATTCTGTATTTTTCAATGGGCCAGACTCACTGACTGCTGGAGAATCGTCAGTAGTTGAAGGTGAGATCTTGTCTGCGTGTTCCTGTTCAATCTCCTTGGCCATTTGCATTTCTTCGTCCTCCTCTTCCGGCTTGGCAGCAGATGCAGATGATTCTTCCAAGTTAGCTTCATTCTCTTCGTCATCATCATCAGCAGGGGCCTCTTGAAAAATAAGACGCTCCCGCAATTGCTTTCGCTCATTCGCCTGGATGCGTTGCTGCTCTCGAAGAATGGTGAGTCCCCGCTTCTTGTTGGCAGCTTCCTCACAATCCTTCAAGTGCTCTTGCTCGGTCTTGTATCCCAGTTCCCGCGCCAACCAAGTGTTGCCCATGGCTCGTTGTTTTTGCTTGAGAGAGTTGCGAAGTGCCGATCGAGCACGCACATTGTTCGCTGGTGCCAATTGTTTCTGCTGTTGTTGGCGCTGCTTGCTCTGTTGTTGTTTGCGATCAGGAGACTTGATGCGATTCAACACGTCAATGGCACTTGCCTTGACGTGGATAGAAAGGGGAGCCATGGGCTTGATGCGTTTGGTGGCTCCTACGATGACCAAGTCCTCGTCATCCGACGACTCTTCCTCGCTGCTCTTGGCTTCTTCAGCAAGTTTGGAAGCATCACCGTCCTTTTCGTCCTTAATGTCGGTAGACTCGGCATTTTCACTGTTTTCATTCTTCGTCTCCTCTTTCTTGACAAGATCGCCGAGTACAATATCCTCGTCCAGCAAGACCACAATGCGCCGTTGGTCAAGCTTTCCCAATAAATCCAATCGGTCTTCCAATCGTTGCATTCTCAGTTCATCCGTATTGGTATCCAATTTGGCAGCAATCTTTTCGGCTCGTGCTTGATCCTCCTTTGTTTGATTCAATTGCATTTCTTCGTTGCGGACCCTTAATTCTTCCATGCGCTTTTTGCGAAGCCTCATGGCTTCGACCAATTTTGCTGCCTTGGCGGCCTTGCGTTGATTGGGGCGTTTGGGTTTGGAGCGAGAGGAATCCTTACTCTTTTTGTTCTTGGTGACCTTTTTGGACTTTGGAGAGGATGATGACTTTTTGTTCTTGGACTTTTTCGTTTTGGACTTTGGCGCCTCAAAATCATCGTCGTTATCCTCCTCATCGGCTTCGAATTCGGACTCGACGTCGCCTTGCTCGGAGATTTGATCTTCCTCGTCATCATTACTATCCACTTCGTCTTCGCCAACATTTTCTTCTTCTTCATTAGAAGGCTTGTTGCTGGCATCATCATTTTCATTATCATCTAGCGACACAGATGGTTCCACTTCCCCCGACATGAGGCTTACCAGATGGGACCGTACAAACTTGCGGGTGGACTTGGAGAGTTTGCAATCGTATTCCGCTTCGAGAGCCTTCAAAATGTCCTTGACGGTCACGGTGGTCTTGTCGGCGTGCAAAAAGAGATAATCCGTGGAGGTAATCAAAGAATCATGTGCCGGTTCTTGTCCAGCCTTTTTCTTGTTCTTCTTCTTCTTTTGGTTGTCTTTGGACTTTTTGCTGGTGCTGCTTGTCTTTCGTGGACTGGGTTCGGTTGGGACAAACTCTAGGTTGCGCTTCTTGGGAGTCCGGCGGGATCGACGCTGACCGTTGTCTTCGGTATCGGCGTCTTCCGCCACATCCTCCTCACTTGGTGGTGGCTGTTCCTTTTCAGCAGCAGCAGCAGCAGCAGGCGGCATAGCATCGTCAAACTCCTGTTCCGATTCGCTATCTTCTGGGATGGTAGTTTTCTTTACTGGGTTTTGCTTTTGCTTTTGCTTTCGCTTGGCACGGCCTCGTTTGGCGAGCTTGGACGACTCTTCCTCCTTGTCGTCACTACTAGCATCATTCTCAGCATTGCCATTATCCTCGTCATCGTCCTCGTCGGACAAGTCAACGTCAAAGAGTGAAGACGAGGGTGGCTTGGACGAGGATCTGGTGGCTTCATCATCTTCATCATCCAAGTCCATGGCAACTGTTGCGTCATCGTCACTGTCGCTTTCCGGCTGTTCCTTGTTGGGTGATGATGATGCTGAATCCTTCGCTTTCAATGCGTTGGTTGCGGCATTGCTGTCCTCACTAGTAGCGGCCACCAGTTCAGATGATGGTTCTGATTCGACAGTTTCGGATGCATCCTCACCCTTTGAGACTTCCTTCTCATCGCTCGTTTCGGGAGTCTCTTCTTCTTGTCGTTGTTCATCATCATTATCATCCTCATCATCATCATTGTCTCCACTACTCATGCTGGCAGTGTCCGAATCGTTTGCAATTGTTGGTTTGGTGACAGAAGGCTGAGTCGCTAGCAATTCGGTTTCCTTTTCGCTTTCCTCTTTTGCGCCGTCATTTTCTTGTGCAGGATTCTCATTCTCATTGTCAATATCGTCATTGTTGTTGTTGTCTTCTCCATCGCTGTCCAAGGACCAATCAATCCCGCCACTGCTTTTTCCAGCAGATTTTGATTCTTGCGATTGAAACAAGTCTCGTGTCATTTCCAATACGGACAAGTCTTTCTTGTTTGTAGCAGTAGCAGCAGAAGATGAAGGCGAATCATGATTATTATTATCAGCATCAGCATTATTATCATCATCATTGGTGGCAGCGGTAGAAGGAGTACCGTCCTCTTCCTTGGTGATGTTGATATTGATGTTGATGCTAGCGCTGTACGACGCATAGGTGCGGCGAGAGGATTCTTTGGTGGGAGAAGTTGTGGTGAGACTGGTGGTGGTGGGGTCGGTCATGGTGATGGCTTTGATGTAATTTCAGTGCTTTGCTGTAATTTCAGTCTATTGAATGATGGAAACTAGAAAGTCTTTGTCCATCAAAAAGGAAAGAATGGACTGTAAAGTGTGTACCTAGGAATTGTAAAAGCAAACCTCGAACACCCAACAAACCAAGAATATGTTGCTTCTGGCTCGTGAACAAGGCGGGAGATGGCTTGCATTACGTCTCTCGTAGCATTCCTACGAGTTCTACGGCATTTATCCAGTTTCAAAAACTGGCGCAGTTTTTTGGCGCGAAAAAGTGCGAAATGGAGAAACTGAAAACTGCTGCCGACTTCCCATTTTAATTTGCCAGTTGAGATTGATTTCAAAATGATACTGCGACGATGCAAATACTCCTTCTTTATATAATACAATCGGCCTTCCCTGAAACTGTTTAGATTATTTTATGTATTTCGGTCGTACTCCTCTATTGTACCAGTTGTAGTCATAGTCCCGCACACTGGATCTCTGGTGCTGATCACGGCGTCGGTACCGGCGGGGAATTTCATTATGGAAACGGAATTTGGCCTTTCCACCGCGGCCACCCTTGGCTCCTTCGAAGAAAAAGTCAGCATCAAAGAAGGTTAAACAATCATATTCTTCTTGCTCCTTTTGCTGGCTCATAATCCTCTTTGGTTTCATCCTCCTCGGAGCCAATGATGGTTCGGAAATCGTTCGGAGCGGTTCTTTTTCTTCTTGGTTCGGCCAAGTAGATGATTTATTGGATCGGGCGACCTCCAAGAATGACATGCCCATCTTGGAATGAAAACTTTGAACTGATGAAACTTCCGAGACTTCTTCCCAGGAAGAACTTTGGCTTGCAGCAGTGTGGTGGCTGGACGAATTTCCGCCTAGTAGCGTATCCCAGCTGTTGTCCTCTGCGGAGAATTCATCATCATGTTCCAAAATGATACAGTAGTCGTCATGTTCCCAGTCAGCATTTTTTACATCTCCATTCAACAACCTACTAGGCAATGGGGCTTCACGAGAAGGCTGCGTCGCCGACGGCTCGTCATCGTTGTGACATGCTTCTTGCTCTGCACCAATCTGGTGGTACTCGGTGCTGTTTGGTGGATCAATGTCAATTTCGTCTTCCACATCGTCAAAAGGCATCATTCCATTTCGAAAATATCCATCTTCCGCATCATCGTCAAGTCGGACAGGTATGGTAGTCCGATTTTTCTTTGCAGCAGCAGCAGCAGGGGGCAGAACAAGGTTCTTCTTGAACAAAATTGGGAAAATAGTTTGGCTTTCTTTTCCGTTGCAAACCTTTGCCCAGCTGAATTCCGTGCCACAAAAGCATGTCATGTGATCGCATCCGCCATTCTTGACAATCACAAAACTGCAGGATGGACAGCGACAGACTTCCATGCCCTTCATGGCCTGTGCCACTTGCAACAAATCTCTCCAGTGTTCTCCGAATCTCGTTCTGTTGTTTTTGCAAATTGTTCTGTTGTATTTGCAAATGACATTCAAGGAACGAAAGGTTTGAAGCTCATTTTTGGATTGGGCGATCCTCTTTATTTGAGCGTCTTGTAGTACTCGCTGGCAATCAGGATGAAAACATTTCAGTGGATAGTGCGATTGGTAGTGGTGGTGCTGGTGCTGGTGCTGGTGCTGGTGAGGACGAAGAATGATGTACTTGTCTCGCAAGCATTCCAAACAGGCGGATTCATGTTCACATCCATTGAAAAGCTTTTGAATCCTCTGTCCACTAGACTTGTGGCAGAGGAAGCAACGGTCTTTCGACATGACTGTGTAGTAGTGGATATGTATTTTTTGGTAATTTGTGAGACGAACATGTTCAAAGTTGTGATTTTGGCAGTTCGAAACGTGCATGTCGAAGTACCGTGGTTGATTCGACCACTATGATCTTGACTTTGGCTGTCCCGCAACCATAACCGCAAACAAGGGTTTCGATGGAAAAGTAGAGCCACCAGATTTTAACCGTGAAGACCCGGATCCTACTCTGCAGATTAGATTGCCATCCTACTGTCCTACAAGTACCGGCCTTCGAAAAAAACTTCGTTTGTCCCACAACCAAATCCAGAGTACGGTAGGTAAGTACCGGTACAATATTAGTGACGTACAGTAGGTATAGAAATGATCAACGCAAGAACGAGGATGTGCAGCAAGCAATCATCATTCAAAGAATAATTGTAAATTCAGCTGCCAGTATACATGTTATTCAAAGAAGCGAGAGAAATAAGGTAGTAGTAGTAGTAGTAGTAGTAGTAGTAGTAGTAGTAGTAGTAGTAGTAGGAGGAGTAGTAGTAGGAGGAGGAGGAGGAGGAGGAGGAGGAGGAGGAGGAGGAGCCTACTATCACTAGCAGTAGGCTTGTGGCATAGGGAGCAACGGTCGTATAATGGAAACCACACACGCTTGAAAAAACACTAATAAAACACTAGGGACAACTAGTACCTTGACCAGACACACCCATGGATAAATAAATGGTAATTGCATCACCTAATAGGGTATTTCTCTATAGCCGAGATGATCAGTAGGCTCCAGCCATTTCCAAGTCTTGCGTGGCCAAGATGTCATACACACAGTCCTTACGGTCCAACTCGTCCTTGAGTCCAGTACAAGCAGCTTCTGCTTCCTCCTCGCTGACAAAAGACCCACCCAAACGGCGGCGATCACCACGTGGATCTTCGGGATCGATGCATCTGTCGGGGAATTGAGGAGCAGACATTTCATGGAACAAATGCTTGTCCGATGGAAGAACTTGCCATTCGTTACCCAGTTCGGTAAAGTCATCCAGCACGGTAACACCATCCCGAGCTAAAGTTTTGCCAGTCTTAAATTCTCCCAACATACCAGCGCTCTTTCCAAATGATTCCTCGCTTGCGTTCTCAAACGAAACCTTGACAAACTCCTTGTAGGTCGAAAGTACTATCTTTTGACCTGGGTAAGCGGAATCCAAGTCAATCTCGATTCGATTCTTGGTGACTGCAGTTCCTTGTTGAGAAAAAGTTGTCACTGGAAAGCCAGCAAACTCGACGAGTTCTCCTTGGTACTCGTAATTGATCCAGTAGTGAGTCTTGGAATCAAAATCCAGAGCAGAGCCTTCAATCTCCAAAATGTCATTGCCGATGCGAATGACAGCATTCTTGATGTAGCTCCAGTGTCTAACTAGTTTGGTGCGAATGTGTACATCAATGCCAAGTCCATTGGAAAAGTGTGTATCTTTGGTCAAGACAAGGTCGCACTGTCCATGGTACTCAAAATGTTCATTCTGCCAAGTCTTGAAGTGCGGGTCGCCGTTGGAACCAGCCTCGGTACCTCGGACATGACAGAGGCGTGCAAAGTCAGCGCTGGATCCCAATTCCTTGAGTTTGTCGGCATGAAAGCAACAAGTCTTGTGATCAAGAGAGTTGTCCGCAGCCGCATTGTTATAGGTTCCACCAGAAAAGTCAATGTGAGCGTGATCACTGCTGTTAGATGAATGAACTCGGACATCGCCTGGGCCCCACTGCATATCACCGTAGCAAAAGCAGACGTTGTTGCCTTCTCCCATATCACCTCCAATGGCCTCCGAGATTACAATCTGAAAGGTGTTGTGCTTATTGCCATTGGCAGATGTCGAATGCCAAGTCGTAGCAAACGTGCCATGATTGTTACTCTTGTACCACGCTTCATATGTGCCACCATTCTGAGCCTGGGTGTTAAAAATGTCAAAAGTCCAATCAAAGTCAGATGCAGAGAGTTTACCAGTGGCTCCCACTCGTACTGCTTGGTCGGGAAAGCGGGTGTCGGAGCTGAATCGAAATGGGGATTCGGGAGCAACCAAGAATGGACCATTCGTGACAAAGTCAGGGACTGGGTTCCAGCTTCCGTCATCTTGAAAGTTAAGGCAGCCTAGCCCCAAGTCAGTAGCTGGAAGGTTGTTCGCATTGGCACTGAGGATGGCCAAAGAAGCAAACAAGAGAGTCGAGATGAATTTCATTTTCGTGCAACAAGGAAGTTCAGATTCTGGAATTGTGTGCTCGAGTATTGATTGAAAAAGCAGACTTATACTTTCTTCGGTTTGGATTTGAAACGGAAAGTTTCTGCGGGGTTTGGGTAGAAAAACAACTTGTCGAGACCGTTTCAAAACTCATCGTGACCGTTGTTTATTTCTGAGCGTGGTTCGCAACCCTCCGCATGTCGCTCTAATGCATGCCATGTTTGAAATCTTTCTTGTCAGATCTAGCATTGAAGAGTTCCTTTAGCCGCCCACGCATACTGAAATAGCGTACTGTAACCAGATCATCTACAGTACGGTACAGTATGAGGATGCGAATCCACGCGTCATTCGAGCCTCTACTTTTCACCAGCGTGCAACTCCCTTCTGCTTCACTTGATAGCTCTCCGAGTTGGGAGAGGAGGCACCATAGCTTGTCATTGCCGTCGCAGAATTCTAGTGATAAACCACTGAATTCTACCTTTTCCAACAAAACGGTCTCGCGTCTCCCGCCGCTGAACCATAAGTAAGGAATTATGCTTCCGGAACCTCCCCAAGCTTTTTCTCTGTCATCACGTGTTGCATAGATATCCAACTCATTCTCCCCGCGCACTACATACTGCCGTGGTGCTGCCTCTCTGACGTATTTCAAGTACGAATCTCCAAGGTGCTCTTCAACCACTAGACACTGGGATCCACACGGGATCTTGAGGTCTCCAACCTCTACTACTGGCGCGGTCAATGTAGATCTTGATGGAACCGCTAAGCTTGCTATAGTACTACGATACTGCCGATTGCCATTCCCATCCCCCTTTGCTTGCAACTTGGTCCTCGACTTTACTTGTGATTTGGTTCTGGTTTTGCACAATGTCAGCATATAGCCTGGGTTCCCTGTAGTTCACGTATCCATCCAACTTTTTATATGGCACTTCATAGTCCGCTTGCAGTGCTGACAGAAGCACAATCAAGTACAGCCCGACCACAATGCATAGCGTGGAGCGTGGTCTCTTTCCGCCTTCTTTCTGGAGCATGGTGTTCTTCTACCGGTACTGTATTTTGGAAAGTAAATTTCTCGATGTACGCGGTACACGTAAACCGTCCTTTTTATTCAGGTAAAAGGATCCTTTTTCTGCTTCTCGTCAGCAAAGCGGCCCGTCTTCTTTTCCCTTCGTATTCAATATTTTATCGGTAGGAGGGCCTTCTTTTTACTTTTTGTAGGAAAACCTTTTTGCTTTTTGAGTTTAATTTTGTGTGATGTAGGAGGTTTTTGGGCGACTCACTCGACTGCGATCTAAGTCGTATTATTCGACTGAGTTTTCGTCTAATCTGTACAGTATGTGTTGCAGATGCTATGGAGCTACCGTATGATGCGATTGGAAAAGCAGCGTTCCAAGACTTCGTTCACTGCTACGCATCTGGTTGCTGTCCTCCTACTTGGTTATCTTCTCGGATACTATCGAGGGAATCGATCATCTTCAAAAATACGAGACAGCAACAACCAAAAGAGTACTCTGGTATCTGGTAGCTTTCAACAGTTGGAATCAGTGCCTGTCCGATCCACTGCCCATGTCGATGACCAGGGCCGTCCCATTACCAAGCAACAACTGATAAATCCCTTTGTGCTGCCAAGATTAGCTGGAATCTCTGTTGCCACCTTGGAATCTGGACAAACTGTAGCAAAACATGAACACGACAGCATGCATGAATTCTTTTTCATTTTGCAAGGAAAAGCTACCTTTCGAGTGGCAAAAGCAGCAGTCAAGGGCGCAATCGATCAACAAGTAGTAACTGTTTCCAAGGGAAGCTTTGTTCACTGTGCTCCACATGAGACGCACGAGATTGTTGGGCCTTCTGATCCGAATGAGGAACCCCTGAAAATGTTTGTCGTTGGTGTCACATTGGATTAGGCAACGAACGACCCAATCAGCAAGTTGTCAATGGGCTGGATTGTAAAGTAGCAAGTGTGAATTAGAAGCGATACTAATTTAAATTAGAAGAGAATCGCAGTTCATATTGGCTGCGAATCTGCGATCATTCGTTTAGGATTTGTGATTGGTATACACCTATTACAGTATCTGTCTCCCCTTTTTCATTGCTCTGCAGGACGCTTCAATTATAGTGTTACTTTAATTATGCTTTAGCGTAAACCGTAGAGTATTGATACAACTCAACTTTACTGCATATCCCAAATTTACTTTTGAGTTATCCATATTACTACTGTTGATCCTTCTTGGAACTACTGTTCAAGAATCCCTGTTTGCGTCCTTCGAATCCAGCCCTTGATTTCTTTCCCTCCTCTTCGGTAGCAATTCGTTTCGAGCTCAAATTGGCACCTGATGAACCGCCCAACTTGCGCTTGGACAAGTTGTGATTGCGAATCTTTTGGCGCTCGTCCATCTTTTCCTTGGTTTGGTCCATTCGAGATTTCCAGGCCTTGCTGGACTTTTTCTTCTTCGCATCTCTTTTCTTGAGAGCCTTTCGGAGTTTGGCGGGATCGTCCTTGACACGTTCTCCAGTCGCTTCCTTGAGGGTATCTCCCCAAACTATGTTTTCTGCCTTTTGTTTTTCTTCCGTGTTGCCCTTCTTCAACTCTTCCAACCGAGTCTTCTTCGCTTCGGCATCTGCCAAAAGTTTTTGCAAGTTCTTGGTCTTGTTCATATTCGCCAACGACTTGTTGACCTTGGAGTAGTTGTCGGACGGGTTGGTGTTCAATCCAGCCAAGCGTCCATAGTCCAAACGAGCCAGATCTTCGGCAACAGCTGCAGCACTCTTGATGCTGTCTTGGACACTGTATCCCTTGGTCTTGGAGGAGTTTTCTGCCTTGGAGGTAGATGACTTTTTGCGTGCCTTGGCTTCTTCTTTCCGTTTTGCCTTTTCGGCTCGACGAGCAGCACGTTTACTAACAACATTGGGATCCGATGGCCGTTGGCCTCGTTTCTCCGCCAACTTGGCGTGCAGTTTCGCCCGTAAAGCTTCAATGCGAGAGGAATTGTCCATTTTGGAGGGATCCGCGGAAGCAGGTGGAGGGGCACTGGTGACGTCCTCATCGTTCTTTTGGCTCTTCTTGTTCTTGTTTATAGGTTTTGTTGCGGCACTTTCAGGGGTCGCAGGCAAGACAGAGCGACCGCCTTCGAGACGGTTCTTAAGTTGAGTCGTTGACTCAGAACGAGAAGGGTCCAATTTGGCACGTTTCGCTTGCTTGTTTTGGGCTCGTCGCGCCTCTTTGGACTCCTTTGCCTGACCCTTGTAGTATTTGGGATTGTAATCGTCGCCAGAGTTTCCAGCGACGTACAGCTTAGCAGGGATGATGTCCACCAGATTATCAAAGAACTCATTGTTGTCTTGCAACTCTTGGAGGAGTTGGTGTTGGGAAATCTTCGGAGCCATCTTTGTTATTGATGCCTGATGAATGGTATGGGAGAGACTGTAAGACAGAGGCTGAACTACTTCTTTCAAGCGGCTCTTTCTATCGACTGCGCTGCTGGTTGTTTCTCGATCGTCAAGAAATCGAGCTTTGAGTTCGAATGGTGCCCTCCGCCTGTCACACGGCTGATGACAGACGGATCATGGCGATCACGAGATTGCGAATTGATAATTCCGTATTCCCAATCTAAATTGACACAACGGGAATTTCAAATATAAAAAATAAATATTTTAGGAAGGAGGGGCAATTATCCTAGATATCAAACAAGTCCTGCAATTTCTCGAATCGGACGGCATAACAAACATGACAAATCCTTGCATAGTCTGTGATGGCTCAGCAGCTTTCTCGATGCAAAACAGTTATTGACGGCACACTCGCAATCTTTGCAATAGGCCAAGTGCTTCCACAGATGTTTGGTTTCCATGCACTTTCGCAGCATCTCATTTTCGCAGCTTTCAGTTTGACATCTGCTGGCATGGAAAAGTCGAACTAGCTGTTGCTGTCCCGATTTCAGATTCCCCAAACCGATGTTTGGAACGACTTTGCGGGATTCATCAGGCTTCCTGAATTTATTGGTGGAAGTCGTGATGGCAAGTGCCTCGTGGACTGCTCGCTCTTTCAATTTTGTGAAATAAACAGATTCTCCCTTTGAGAATCTCGAATGTGTATGCAAGTAGCGCTCCACTTGTTTGGCGACCATTGGAAGTTTCTCTTGCTCCAGCTTGCCACTCCTCTTCTCTGCTCGAAGCATTCGAAGCATCTGTCTTGTCATCATGCGTCGATGTGGTGGAGACTTTTCATTCGAGCGTTGCCGGTGTTTGCCGTTTCTGCTGATGATGGACGGAATGCAGTCGCTACAAAAGTTAAGTGTACCTCGACTAATAGATTTGTCATTTTGGGACATCTCGATACAATCACAGGATTGTAGGATCATTGTTTTCGCGGTTGGATTTGTGCTTGTTGTTGTGGATTGACAGAAAATGTTGTATCGACGAGATTATTTGTGAGTGATCACGTCCGGACGTGTAAAGAGCGTGGCTCGCGATTTTATTTATCGATTCGAGGATGATTTACTTAACGACAAGACAGTGGACATGGATATAGCAAAGTTGGTCACTCAGGACTTTTTGAATTCCATCGTTCTGACATCGACGAGTCCAGTAAGTCGAATCAATCAATTCGATCCACGCCACAAACCCAGTGCATCATATCTCAACTGATAGCGGTACCTACAGTAGTCACAAGTGACTTTCGCTCAACCGCAAGAATGGCACATAGTACTGTCGATCCAGCGGAAGAGTCGATAAGAAATGGCGTTGACTATGATATACAATCTATGTGCCAACCGTGTGATGCAACCGTGTGTTTTTGACACGATCGTGCAAGCAAAACGTGGTTTGACCGTTTGGGCATTGTTTGCAGTTACGCCGGGCAATGTCGCCAAACATTCTTCCTAGGTTTCCAGTCCCTGTCATTAAAAAAAACAGCGTGAGACATCCAGAAATACTTGAACATGACCGAGAAGTATAGAGGTTGCCAGAAAACCACCGAGGAGTTGAAAGTATGCAGTTGCCACTTACCCGATGCCAACTATTGTTGCCGGGAGTGCCAAGTGGCGAATTGGAAGCATCACAAGACAGAATGTAAACTTTCGAAAGTGATCAGGATGGATTGGGAGTTTCTCGTCTTGGAATTCTCACGGTGCAATTAATCCCATGAAAGATTACGATGGAGCCTTGGAATTTGTCCAAAAGTACATTCCAAACCAAAAAAAACTTTTGTTCATCACTTTACCAAAGAATCCTATCATCAGAAAATCCGACCATACGTTGAAACCAACCATCAATTTTTCCTATGGAGCTTTGGATAAGTATTTGAAGTCTTCCAAGTTATCTTCTTTCCGGTTCGATGCATTCGAATGTCCTAGTGACCACACCACCGGCATTACAAGGAATGGTAGAGTCTTTGAAAGTCTCTATAACTCTGAAACCCTGATGGAGCTGGTTTTGGTGGGTGTACACATTTATGATGCATGGGCCTTGCCAGTGCCCGAGAGACTCCGTTCCTTGACCTTGAAAAGCGTCACTTTTGGGAACTAGTGAGCTCGAACACTATGTTGACTTTTGACAGTGGCTACGGCGAGCTAATTGGTCTCCTTTCAAGAAAGACATCATTGGTGAAACTCAGTCTGATTGTATTTCCCTTTGAGGACGATTATTTTGAGCGACTTTCTGGACTGACCAAGTTGCGCTTCCTTGAAATCATGGGACACTCAGGGGATCCAAATGATCCCGCACACAACGTTGGGAGAATCACGGACAATGGGTGCAAGGCGATTGCAAAAACCCTACCGAACTTGCACTATTTGAATTTATCCAGCCAACCGAAGGTTACAAAAGTTGGCATTGCCAGCATTCTCCGTTCGTGCCCTCGTCTGCGCGAGATTCAAGCCATTTCCACCGGTGTTAAAAGTCAACACCTGGCAAGGCTTGTGAAGCTCAGTGATTCGTTGCTTATGCTTATATTCAGTTTGGAGTTTTTTCGATTTGACGATCCGCACATTGTCCAAACAATCAAGGCTACTGGTGGCCGTTGTCTACCGAATTGCGACTCCAGGACGGAAGATGACCATCACAGAGAGATGGGCTGGCTTTGCGACTTGAACAGACCATCTTCTATTTTCACAGATGCAGAGAGACGACAAATGTTGCACTCTCATTTTCTGGTCCAAGAAGTATCCAGACGAAGGCTGATTCCCCTTAGCATTGACATATACGAGGAACTTGTTGGTGTTGACATTCGAGTCGGCTCCAATTCCAATTGAATTGGAGAGTTCTTTTTGGCATCTTGGGTTGTTGATAGAATGCTGGTAGAATCTAAAGTAGGGTTTCATTGAGAGGTACTATGTCTGTATCGACCCTAATGCCGTGAAAATGTGTGACCGTTGCCGACTGATCAATATTTGCTTCAGAAGATTGAACAGAATCACTATTATACATACATACTACCTTAATTGATGCACCATCGTGATTATTCAAACTACACATCCAGCGTTACGCCCATTTCCTTTACTGCTAAATGAGTTTTGCGCTGCAGAGATGGAAATTCAAGTACAGCATATTGTTAGACTACAACGGGAGAAAATTGTTCAGAGCTGTAATGGCATCTCAACGAGCTTACACAAATCGCAAGTCGGGATGTTTGATTTTCCCAGTTGAGGAATAGTTCCTGTCATTTGATTTTTCTGCATTCTGAGATCGTTAAGATTTACCAGGTTGACAAATTCTGTTGGCATGGTCCCTGATATACCGCTATCCGCTACATTGTTTTTGTTTTTGGTGAAGATGCAAGGTATTAGGATACACATCCTTGGAAAACGCGACCATCCATTTGTTCACACTTACAGAGATACAACCTCGTTAGGGCAGTCAAGCTTCCAATCTCCGTTGGGAGCGTTCCGGGTCCAAGATTGTTCCCAACTGTGATGAAAAGTGGACAAGAAAAGGAATGAGATGTGGACCAATCAAGAAACAACAACAGAAATCACTCTATTCTTAGCCTTACAAAATTTCAATGATATCAAATTGCTCATTCGACCTGAAGAAAGAAAAGATGATGTTAGGACTGCCCTTTCCTAGATTGACTTGAAAATAATTGTTCTTTGTGATGTCATACCAATATCGGTTCTGATGGTACCCCTTAGGTCATTTTGATCTAAATGAAGTCGTTTGATTGACTCTTTAAGAATTGCTTTGGGAATTCTACCAGTCAGCGCGTTGTTGTGCAAATAGAGCTTTTCCAAACCATTAATTCTTCCTAGCTCAGACGGAATGCGGTTCTTCAGACTATTGAAACCTGAAGAAGAACGGAAAAGGTCCATTTCGAACATGTGGAGAATGTGAGTAACAAAAAGTTCCAAAAGCATGTAAACTCTAGCTGAAACGTACCCAAATCGATATCTCTCACTCTCCCACCAGCACAGCCGATTCCATGCCAACTGCACACCGAATCAGTTGATAACCAACCGGTTTTCGTCAACCAATTAGTTTCTCCACCAGTCTTGTAGAAAAGAGCCGCCATAATGTATCGTTCTACAATCATCGCAGCAGCATCTGTCGAAGAACTTGGATACCAATCATCGACTGTTAGAATCCAATTGACAGCATCATTGACAGAATTGGTAAATCCTTCAGCGGTAATATGAGCGGCAACTGCTTGCTGTCTATCAAATGCGGTAGGTGAGACAGACGGAGACGTTGTTGGCAGATATGTTGGACTGGAAGTAGGTGCCGATGTCGGTTCTGGTGTCGGTTCTGGTGTCGGTGCTGGTGTCGGTGTTGGTGTCGGTGCTTTGCTCGGTCCGGGCGTTGGTTCCAAGCTAGGCTGAGTACTGGGACTAGGAGTTGGAAAAGAAGTTGGAGGTGGTGTTGGTCCAACAACAGGTGCCAGAGTAGGTTGGGGAGTGCTTGGGCTACTTGATGGGGATTCACTCGGTATATTCGTTGGTATCAAGCTAGGTTCAGTAGACGGGCTAGGAGTTGGAAAGGAAGTTGGAGGTGGTGTTGGTCCAACAACAGGTGCCAGAGTTGGTCGGGGAGTGCTTGGGCTACCTGATGGGGATTCACTCGGTAGTTTTGTTGGTACAGAAGACGGATTTGCAGTTGGATAGCCAGTTGGAGGTGGAGTTGGTCCAACAACAGGTGCGAGAGTTGGTCGGGGAGTGCTTGGGCTTCCTGATGGGGATTCACTTGGTAGTTTTGTTGGCACAGACGACGGATTTGCAGTTGGATAGCCAGTTGGAGGTGGTGTTGGTCCAACAACAGGTGCGAGAGTTGGTCGGGGAGTGCTTGGGCTTCCTGATGGGGATTCACTCGGTAAATTTGTCGGTGCAAATGTTGGAGAAGAGCTTGGGATAGTTGACGGTGATGGTGTTTGTCCAACAAATGGAGCCATAGAGGGGGCCGGTGTCACAGGCTGTGCACTTGGAGCTGGTGTTGCCTCCTTTGTCGGTGCAAATGACGGAGACACACTTGGAACGCCTGTTGGAAATGCAGTCGGGGAGTCGGTGTCGTTTCCTGGAAGACTGTCGGTAATCACCAACCGGATGAATGGTGGTGAAGGTAGGCCCAGCAGTTCTGTCAAATTGATGATATCACCGCTTGTCGACGCTTCGCTGACCAGCCCGATCAGCTCCCAAAACTTGAGATCTTCATGCAGATACAAATCCAGAATCACCGATACAAAAAGACAGGACGGACTTGCCGCGATTTGACTGCATGAGACGTCTGCTGAAACTTCCACGGTGACCACACCAGCGTCCACGACGTATGGCTCATTACTCAACTCCCGTCGAAGAAAGGTTTTGTTTCCTGGTCGAACGGCACTGTTTCCAAGCAAAGAACGACGACCAACGTCTGTGTTGAAAGGACATCGAGCCAATGCTGGGACTAAAACTCGTTGGAAGGCATTTTGCAGTTCAGATGCCACCACAGCAGTGTCAATGTTGTCTGGATCGTTAGCATCCATCAAGGCATCCATGTGGACGACCACTGTCTTCAAAGTAAGACTTTGCTGCTGCTCGTCGGTAACTTCACCTTTTGCGATTGCTTCACACTGCTCCAATGACGGTGGATCGTACTTGAGTGCAACCGAAGGTGCGCTAGAAGGCCAATTGCTTGGAGGGCCGCTGGGGGCACTGGTGGTAACAATCGCTGGAGCTGCCGGGAAATCAAGTTGAGCGTCCTTCTCGGTGAGTTCACTTTTGCTCCCAAACAACGCAAAGAACACAGCGATGCCACCGCTAACCAACAAGATTAGTACCAATACGAGTACCTTTGGACTCTTCCAACATGGCTTCTTCTTTCTTGCTTCGTCGTCGGTTGCGGCACCCTGACCACCTTCATCCTCCAGCATTCTTAGGGGCATTTCCTCGAAACCCTTTTGGGGTCGCCTTTTCCCTTCCTCCACTCTTGCTTGCACTTTGGTCTCTCGAGCCTCTTTGTCTTCCTCTTCCAAAATTGTGGCAGCAATCATGAGCTCTCCGTTGTCATTTTTCGCTGGTATGGTACCTCGTTCCATGACATCACCTTCGAGCACGATATCCATTCCACCCGTCATAGTAGATGATCTACCACAACTGGCGCTTCTCTTGGCCCTGGAATCTCTGTCGTTCCGATCTGTACTACTCACACTTTCGGCACCAGGTTTCAATACCTTGGTGGATCGCCGACTTCGCCTCTTTTGATCAGCATCACTGCTGTGTGAACGGGAGCTGCCATCCAGGCCCACGGATTGGGCGCCTGGCGATAGACTGAGACTTTTTCCAGCTCCAGCCTTTCCAGCTTTGGCCTTAGCCTTTACGGAATCGTCCGATTTGGATCTGGTGGAACTCGGACGAGGGCTTCTGCTGCTACTTTTGCGATCGCCGTGTCTTCTTGACTTTTCTTTGGTCTTGATGTCGTCATCCGATTTGGCTCTGGTGGAACTTGGACGAGGGCTTCTGCTGCTACTTTTGCGATCGCCGTGTCTTCTTGACTTTTCCTTGGCCTTGATGTCGTCATCCGATTTGGTTTTGGTGGAACTTGGACGAGGGCTTCTGCTGCTACTTTTGCGATGACCTCTTCTCTTCTTATCCTTGATATCTACTCCAATTGCGACACCGACTTTCTTTTCACCTTCCTCCCTCCTCTTACGATGATGTCCGTCACGGTTTTTGCTGCGAGAAGGAGACGCGCCTGCATCCTGATGGTCATCTTTGTTGGTAATGGTCTGCTTCTTGTCTTCTTCTTCTACCATGGTGAGAGTGTATCGATTTGTTGGAGGATATTTCTTGTGTTTTCAATAAGCAGAGCACTTAAAAATGAGAGAGGTATGCAGTTTCATGTTGGATTTGAATCTGTGACCCTTTTTTCCTTCCGTAACATGGCGGCTCCCTGCATGAGTTGGGGACTTGAAGAACAGGTGGTGGCTCTTTTTCATCGTATTTACTTAAAATCACGGCAGCTCATTGCAAATTCTGCCAAGCGTCTCGCGAGCACGCCCGGCGCGCTCAACAATCTTCAATAATCGACTCATCCGAATGTCTGATGTCTGTACAATTTCCGGGCGCCAAACAAACCAATTTATCCTGGGTACCTTTCGTTTCAATCATCGACCTAGTTGCAGCGGATATGATATTTAGATCATGTAGCTATGCGACTTCACTTTAGATGAACACATATTATTTTACCAAGTCCTACACTCCACAGATGATTTGGTGATGCACGACTACAGACACGACTCTCTCAATTCAAATTGAGCTCGCTCACTCCTACCGGTAGATACAATAGTTGAATCTCTAACACTGATGAGAACCATCAAAATAATATCTTCACAAATTGAAATATTTGTCTCCCTAATCTCATTCTTCTTTTGCCTCCGAAGCATCAATGTTTAAAATAAGGAATTCCTTATTGGTGTACACGCACATGTCGGCAGCCACATTCATCGCTTTGCTGGCTACTTCTTCAGCGGACATTTCCTCCACGCTCATTAGCGCTCTTGCAGCAGCTGTGAAACAACAAAAGGTGCGATTAGAATCGATCATCATTCAAGTAAGAAATCAATCCCCAAAGCGCAATCCATACTGTAGATTAAAAATCTTCTCATAACTCATTCCGCAAATATTCACTCACCAAGTGCAAAAGGACTTCCACTCCCAACCGACACTACTCCATCATTCATTTCCAAAACATCACCATTTCCTGTAAGTTCCAAGGACACATTCTCGTCGGCCACAATCAAGGAGGCTTCTAGACGCCGCAAATATTTGTCTGTTCTCCATCCCTTGGCCAACTCAACACAGCTTCTAGAAAGCTGACCGGGATATTCGTCCAATTTGCCCTCCAATCGTTCCAACAAGGTAAAGGCGTCCGCAGTGGCACCCGCAAATCCCACAAGGGTCCCCTTTTGCGGGTCATCTATTCCCTTTGGTAGAATTCGACGAATTTTGGTAGCGTTGGGCTTGACAATCATGTTTCCCATGGATACCATACCATCACCCATCATGCAGACCTTGCCGTTCTTGCGCACGCACAGAATGGTGGTTCCATGATACTCATTCGCTGCAGACGGAACGGAGGAGTGAAAGGAGGAGGCAGCCGAAGTGGTACGGATGGCTTGCATCTGGGCTACTACCTTGGAGCTCATTTGTTTTCGAAGGATACTATTCATCATTGTTGTTGAATATGTTGTTCACAAACGTATTCAATCAAGCTTGTAAATACAGTCAGCTGATTTTCTTTTGTGTTGGTGATGTGTTGGTGATCTCGCCGAAGCGATTGGATCCGAAGTCAAAAGAATCAATCAAAAGGAGGGAGAGGAATTGCGGTGGAAAAGGGGAGGGGGTTCAAAATGACTTCAAGTTCTTCCCCCACATCTGTTGCTTTTTATCTCCTCCGAAAGATATTGTAATATTCAATACATGGTGTATTGCTCCATGTCATCCACTTCAGAGCTTACAACGATTTGAGTAACCACGCTACAAGTAGCATAACAGCATACATACAAATACATGAGTAGTGTTCGCACTATACTCTTGTAAGATTCAGTAAAAAAATTGATATCAATCTATTGGTATTGTTAGTGGCCCTTCTTGAATCGGTTAGTAGGGCAAAGCTATTATTGTGCCTCCAGCGGAAAATTAATATCGTCAACTTTCTCCCAAAAAATATCATATCGCTCTTTCATCTTGAAGGGATGGAACACCGCTATACTCTCATCAGACTTGCAGCTATGAATCAGCGACCAGCTGCCTCGTTGTTTGGTTTTGAATTTTGTGCAAAGTTTCACTAGCCGGGTGGGTGCTTGCAACTGCTGCTGAAGAATATCCACTATCTTACCAAAAGCACACTCTAACCAAACCAAGTGTTTCACGTGTATGTTTACAGCTTCTGCAAACGGTTCGGCATACTTTGTTGGTACCATGAGAAAGTCAGATTGTGTTTGAAAGCCAAACCATGCTGAACCATCTGGATCGAGATATTTTGCAAATTCAGGGTCCATTGCCATTTTCTGTTGCGCTTGTACACAGTATTCATGCGGCCATCGAATCCAATTGTCATGCATATTTGGGATTTGCTTGCTTAACTCGCTTGCAGAATTCACAAAAATAGTCTTGTCTACATCAGATACTGTGCCATTCGGGAAAACGCGATGGGATTGTTTCTGTGCTGTCACCCTATCAGGTGTGGTCCTTAGATCAACGTATTCGATATTGTCAACCTCCGGTAGTTGTCGATTGGCGATAATCTTGTCGGTGGGGAAAGGATACTTCCCTTCCGATAGCTCGGTCAGGTTCAACAGGGAATCATCGTGCGCATAGAGCACTGCGTCAATTGTCGAAGAGTTTGCAAAACGCAGCAACGTCCTCATTAAGTTGCTCATCGGGTTGTAGAAACCTAGGTCTTCCCCATACCCAACCCCAACCCCAATGGGTTTTAATTGGCTGGCTTGCATTACGTCGATGCGATGAGCCTCCAAATACGCCAGTTTTGTGTTATCGACTGGAGCCGCTGCAACAACCATTTGGAACCGCTCTCTCATCTTCTGACTCCAAATCATTATTTGAGTCGTGATGATGGGTTTATCTGCAAAATTAAACTGACCCATCAGTGCCACGTTACGAATTCTAGGCTTGAGCTCAGGAAACTGGTAGTTCATTGCAGTCAGCGCCATGAGCCACTTTTGCATTGCCACAGCATCATCCAATTCAATATATGATCGTTCGTACAAATCGATCCATAGCTGCTCTACTCTCGTGGGGAAATGGAGGTGCTCAGAGTCCCAACTTGATAGAAATTCAATCAGCTTCCCACTTTTGATATACAAGTCGTTTTCGGCAGAAAAGTCAGCCAAAATGTCATGCTCGTTTCGTATTTGTTCAATCTTCGGAGGCGCAAAGACCAGCCGAAGGTTCGAGTCCGCAAAAATGCATTGAGCAAAGTACGACCGCCAGATATCTGAAACACGACCTGGTACTGTTGTAGGGAGTAAGGTTGCCCAAAGGGCGGGTTGCGTATGGATTGAAGCTTGAGCATTGTATGGACTATACGCATGCTTTGGAACGAGGACATTTGTTGCATTTTCACTGTTGTCGAATGTCATTGGTAGTGGACGGGTCAATCGATGGTTGGCATCGACATCAGGATTTCCATCGGCTAAGAACTGAATCACACCAATTGAGGCCGATTTGGAAACAAATGGCATCGACTGCTGAAAGAACGCCTGTCCTTCCGTTGTATTGTCCCTAATGTACTGCAAAGGAAATCCACGCGCCCAGGATGGAGCCGGAATTGACGGTTTCATCATTGGATGATGGTTGAAAGCTGTTGGCCCAGATATTGCTATGGTCACATTGTCGAGTGTTTCTATTGATGGAAGAATTTCAACAGGCTTTCCTGTTTCCTCGTCCAATTTGATGAAATTGTCGTCGTCAAAATCAAAGAAGAATTCGGCACCATGAAGGATTGCAAACAAATACCCCAGATTCTTTCGTCCAAAGTGCCTCCAGGGCATAGTACGCACAAAGTCACCGATGGGTCCATCCAGTTGTTCCCATGTTTTCTGACGTTCCACCGAAAAAAAGTATGTCGATTCAGTAGCTCCGCCCATTGTTTGAAAGGTTGACATATAATTCGTAGGTGTTTTGGTATCTGCCACCACGACTAGGCACCACTCGGGCAGGTTTGAGACTCTCGATATAGCTTCCGTAGGATCAAAGATGGTAGTCACCACACCCCACTTGGTGCACTTGTCCCGAAAGTCATTCTCAAAAGGCAACGATTGGCTGGGAATATCTGTCTTCGTTAGCTCTGCCCTCGGAAGTGAGAAATCTCGAATCTTTTCTCCTCTAAAGAGTTTCCCTGTTGACGAGTCAGGTATGACCGATTGTGCAATTGGAAGCTGTACAGCTTGGTCTGTATGTGTATTATTAGCTAAGTTAGGTGAACACTTAGAAGAGTCATCTTTCGGTGGCAACGACGACTGAGCGGAAACAGGACGACCAGCATCATTCAGGCGGCGCCACCCGGTCGAAAATTCACCAGTGAGATTAACATTTACAACGATCAGAATAATTGCAAAGATCACTAATGCTGATGAAGTTTGAATCTTCATGGTCTTTCAGGATGGTCTTTCAGGATGGTACAGTATTTCGCAATTGTCGTTCACGATGGTATAGTATTTCGCAACTGTCGTTCACGATGGTCTTTCACGACGGATCTCAGAATTTTTACTGACGTATTGCTGTACATACTGTATGCAGTTTTGATCCTCCCGGAAATGGCAAATTTTGACCACGTAAAAGTATGTACCGGTATGTACCGGTATGTATGCATGCTTTGGGAAAAGTATCCACCGTCAGTCACTTGCCACTGGAACCCGACTACGATATTGTACCAGGTACGTGTACTTTTACCAGGTACTGTCGGGCGACAACAATTGACTACGCAAATTATACGCGCTACAGTAATTCCTGATTCTATTTTTTTAAAATCGAACTCATCCATTCATTCTTCATTCACCTTTTATTAACTCATCCAAAGAAGGGAGGGGGGTTTCTTTGTAAAAGGGGAGCAAGTTCTAAATGACGTTTCTACTACAGTATTGTATCGTACGAATCGTAAAATTCACAGAACCGCAAAACTCATACCTTGACCACAAACAACAATACCATGATGAAACTCCTCCTTGCTCTACTCCTGACTACATTTGTCAAGGGCTTTGTTCCTTCGCTATCATCTACGCAACGACAAGGAGGATCACAATTATATTCTACAGCGGAAGAAGTTTCTATTGAACCAAAGGATGTGGTCCGACTCTTCGGACGATTGGCCGAAAAATACATTATGTTGGACGAGTCTGGTGGCATGTGTTGCTATTCCGGTTGCAAGGATTGCGAATACCGTCTCCCTGATGGAGGATATAGAATGGCAGATCAAAGTGCTGCCCGTCCAAAATGGATCCCAGTGTACGAAGAGCGCAACTTTTCGGGACAAAACAAGGAGCACAAGACCAAATGGAGCACCGAAATCTTTTCCGAAGGCCCATCCGTGACCAAGGAAGAGTTTGTCAAGGCACTATCTGAAATGCAATATGCACCTCCATGTACGTGAAAATGCATTGAAAGAATACGATTTTGGTATTTTATGTTTCCAGCTGTTGCTAACCATCCATTTGTCGTCATCGTCTTCTTGTTTCTTTTTCTCTCATTCTTCTTGTCCTACAACTGTACGGTATAATATGAAATAGTGGGCGGTCCATTTGTGGGCGCAACAGCTGGGCAAATCGAAGATAGCGCTGCGGCCGAGAAATTGTTTGATATGCTAGCTGGTGAGAAAGACAAGCTGGCGCGATTCAAGATGAGCGTCCAATTGAAGGAATTGGCCAAAGGTGAACAAGGTTTGACTTGGAAAGACTTTGCCGCAGCTATGGGAGTACAATAGTACTGATAATAGATATAACCAATTTTGATTGCTTGATTTTTGCTGTTTTCGCATCGCTCTACTGTACCTACCGGTACATTTTAGTCTAGAGTAGATCCAAGGATAGTAGCCACATCACCGAGAGTTGTGAGTCAGTCAGTCATGAATGGATGACGACCGGATTGAGACGCCATTGCCATCTGCCGATGCCGACGTCTGTAGTCGACCAGAAAAAGCGGAACAAGAAAAGAACACAACGCAACTGCCGCTTGCACTCTGTAGCCATCACTCGATCGTCATGGTGTAGTTTCATTGGAGTGTTGACAGGATTATGGTCGCGTTCCAGTCTACAGAAAATCCTGTAGAAATTGTACTAGAAAACTCACTTTTCTCTCCTTCTCCACCAAAAATTCCGGCAAAAGGCTGGAAGATCCGTTATGTTGGTGAAATTTCCTAATCGGAGTTGTTTCCTCATTATTCTCTGGTTCCCATATTGATACCGATCCGAAGTTAGTGCTTGTGCCAGTACCTCCAACGCTCTCCAAGAATCATCAAGACGTCTGTTCGAAAGGAGAAAGGGCCAAGTGAGTGACAACCACGAAGACACTACAACCACCAAAAACAGCCAAAGACGCAAAAAACACACCACCACAGAATCTTAAAAGTAAGATTTCCAGCGTAAGCACGACAAACAACCACGATGCTTTCTACTTCAATAATACAACGGCTAGTCCTAGTCGCTTCAGCTGTAATTTCAGTTGACGCTTTCATGTCCTCCAACCAAATGCGATCTTTCTCCAAGAGAGTCTCTGGGATGAATGGAATCGCAGACCACATTGACGATGTGGCAAGTGAGATAAAATTCTTCAACGACACGGTCATCGGAAGAAATTATGTTCTGGAAGACTATGTCAATGGTCCTGCCATGAACCCACCAAAGTTTGATGTTTCCAAACTGGAGTTTGTGTCCACCTGTGGCGCGGACGATCCAGACGAAAGCTGCTCCGTCAATGAGCTCTACAGCGACATGATTGAAGAGCACAAGACCGGTGAAGAAGACGATGAATCATATCCATATGTCGATATGATTCGAGGTTCAGCACCCTACATTGCCAACCATCGAGGTGAATTGGCGGTCATTCATGTGCCAGGAGATCTGTTGTCAGGGTTTGACCTCAGCGACTTCATGAATGACATTACTCTTTGTTGGCTATTGGGTATGAAGATTGTGGTTGTGGTTGGCTGCCGCAAACAGGTTGAGGAACGTCTCAACTCGATGGGACAGGAATCTGCCATTAGTGGTCATACTCGAATTACCTCCAAAGAGCATATGCGCATTGTCGAAGAAGAAGCTGGCTTTGCCCGTTTCGAAGTGGAGCGACGGTTGCACCGCAGTTTGCGATGCTCCCAGCTGTCTGCACAAACCGGCAATGTTGTCAGTGGCAACTTTTTCAAGGCATCCCGGTTTGGAATTGTCAATGGGGTCGACTTTGAAAGCACAGGACGTCCAAAACAACTGAATGTCAAACGCATTTTGGATTATCTAAAATCCGGCGAAATCGTCCTCATGACATCCGTAGGAATCGACCTTGCTGGCGATGTCCTCAATGTCAATAGTGAAGCCTTGGCTGCCTTTACTGCTGCATCCCTATGCGCCAACAAGTTGGTCTACTGTTCCAACACTGGAATGGTTCTTCGAAACAAAGAAACCAAAATGACCGTCCAAAACTTTCGTTCCAAGGATGCTAAAAAAATCTTGGAACATTTCAACATGGACATTCGCAAAGATTACTTCATGTCCCATGTGGACACGGAAGGATTGGCAGGAGGAGCCTCCGAGATGCTGGTCAAGATTGGATGGGCTTGCAAGGCCATTCGCGACGGAGTCGATCGTGCCCACATTATCGCTCCTTCCAATGGTGCCCTGATTGAAGAATTGTTCACAGCCAAACAAGGTACTGGAACCTGTATCAGTGAGGATACCTTTGAGAGCGTCCATCCAGATGACGATTCTGGTGACTTTGTATCCGCCAACGAATTTGCCGTCAACTTGTCAAATGGGGTGCAGTCCGATGATGACCCAGATTGGCCAGCCGATGTTCCAAAAGATACATTTCCATGGCAAGCACGTGCCGATACTTTCGACTAATCATCATGGACGTATATATTATGAGTGAGCAGAATTTATGGATGGAGGAGGAGGAGGAGGGATATAATAGCAGATGACAAGTGGAGGGAATGGATGGATGGCCTGATTCATACGATATGCAGTCAGTCGTCAATGGAATCCATGGCTCGGCACGAAGAACATGTATAACTAAAAAATTAGATTGTAAACGCTAGCAACACAAACATACTACACACTATCCTACTACTATTTTGATTTCTACGTTCTCTTATTTTAGGATACTCTTCCCTTGCAATTCAGCAATCTCCGCTATCAGCGATATATCGTCCTCGTTGCTAACCACAAACTTGTTAACACCTGAAAACATTGTCTCGTTGACTAGCTCGTCATTAATAGTACTGTCCATACGACCACCACCAATCATCAATCGCGATGCCACTGTCTTTCCCACCAAGTCGAGATAGGAAAGTTCTTCGCACAATCGTTCCAAGGCGTCAGAATCAACATTTGCGTCAGCACTACATGTACTCGGCACCCAAATAAAGTCTCCACCTTGATTAGCATCAATCCAGGCTGCTACTTGATTGGCAATGGAAATTGGATTTTGATCCTCCTTGCCAATATTCGATAGAACAATGGTCGTATTCACTTTGGTAGTAATAGTATTAGTATTACCACCAACAGCGTCATGGATCTTTTGTAAATCCATACTACCCTCATTGATGTTACTGTCTTCTGCGTCAAACTTTAAAATCAAACTCACACTGCTGCTGGAATTATTCTCCTCCTCCTGCTGCTCCTGCTGGAGCAGTAGCGGTGCCGCGGCTGATACATCCTTGGCAGAGGCAAAAAACATGAAATCCTTGGAGGGCGCAATATGCTTCAAGGTTTGTAAGTTACGAACATCCCGGGGAAAGGAGATTGGTGGCAAAATGACACCCTGGACACCTTGGGAGTGCAAATTAGCCAATTGTGCGGGCATGTCCGAGGATGGATCTTCCTTGTACAAATGGGCCGGGACAAAGGATGTGGAAAGATTGGAATCTTCCTGACTCCTGTCTAGGATTATTGAAATTTCTTGTACATTGTGTACGGGGACGTGCATACCCGATTGAGAATCATAGTAAGTTGACGATGATGAAGATGACGACGAAAGATTGCGACGAGTGGTTCCTTGGAGGAGGGACCCACGACATTGCTGTAGTACGGCGGAAGCCGCTTTCACCCTTGTAAATGCACTGGTTCTCATGGTTGATGATATCATCATGGTATTGTACTACTAATACGTTTGAATATGGTAGGATATGATAATGTTTCTTGTCGGAAGCAGAGGCGTTTTCATCAAAATAGAAAGTTACATGTGAATGAATGTGGTTTGAGGTGCAAGCGGGATTGCGGGTATCTTTCGCACGGGAATACGGGTTATGCTATTGCCACAGGGAAAACCCGTCTCATGGCATTGATCGGCATTTGCAAGGATTATACCGGTAGTACTCGTCCGGTAGAAACGGCTGTCAGTACAACACAATCTATGGTAGTAGAATATGAGGAACAGTTCCACTTGAGAAGATTGATTCGACAAGAGCCAAAGCCCGGCATTAACTCTTGCAAGGATTTTGAGCTTAAGCTGGTAGTCTTGTTGACATATGTTTATTTTTTTTAAAAATGAGAAGAATCATAATTGTTGACTAAATTTTAACAACCTATAGTATTCTTATTCAATCAACACCGACCAGTCAAGCTTCCTAGAGCCGTTTGCACCCACTAGATAATTGTGAATCAACACGAATGTACAACATGATATGATATATGATACTCTCTTCGAGAATGCTTCTCCTGTTCGCTCGGAAATCAATGTTGCGTCCCGATTGTGAACACCACATCAATGTAACCTGCTCTCTCTCTCTTCAGAAATTACAGTAGCTGCGGTCTCTACACTATATAGACTCACTTCTACCGTTCCATATGTTCACCCTCAATCAAGCAGCCAATCAATCCAATGTCCACGAGGGTTTCTTTTTCAATTCCCAAATGGCTCCAGCCGTCGGTGAAATGGTCGTTCTCTTTTTGTAGTAGGTGGAATCCATCAATTCTTTCGCTTTGTCTGGTTCACTAATTTCCAACACCTTGGCCTTCATGGCCTTTTTCATGTCTTTCCACGGTCGACTGCAGGAATCCAATTGACCCAACCGATAGAGTTGGTCTCGTTGGTATCGAGATCCAATGCAACGAGACCATTCGTCCCAGTAAAGTCCAAGAGGAATTGAAGCGAAATCTTCTTGTTGCTGTTGTTCAGGTGTGTCCGTAGTGGTGGTTTGGGACATTTTGCGTGTGTTGTGTTTCCCACAATGTCGGGACAAAGGAATAAGTTGGTACAATAATACTTTACAGTTTTGAGTTTCGGTTTGTTACCGGTACACTGTGCGTTGAGGAGACGCCTTCCCGTCGTCCGTCAAAAGGGGGAAGAGCAACGATTGAAACAAAATCACAGAAACATACTGTAGTTGAAATTGGACATCAATCGTATTCATCATCCACCCAACAACCCTTCTAGTTCTCTGAATACAGAAGAATCAATTCAATTCAATTCAATTCAATTCAATTCAATCCAATTCAATTCAATTCAATTCAATTCAATTCAATTCAATTCAATTCAATTCAATTCAATTCAATTCAATTCAATTCAATTCAATTCAATTCAATTCAATTCAATTCAATTCAATTCAATTCAATTCAATTCAATTCAATTCAATTCAATCCAATCACATTCCTTCACAATGGCGTCTGCTGCTCCTTCTCATGTCACAGAGACCATTGCCGACCGCAAAAAGCAGCGGGAATTGGCCGAAGCCCGGCAATCCGGTGCCATGGCTCCGGCCGTCGACGTCAAGACGGGCGCCATGATCAATCCACACAATCCCGACTTTATCACCAAACGACCCTGGTATTTGGGAGGCAATGATACCGGACCATCCTTGGACCATCAAACGGTGGCCAAAGATGCCAAGGACCGAGTGACACTGACCTTGAATTCGGCCGATTTGCTGGTCAAGGAAGAACGTCGCAAACTCAAGGAGAAACAAAAAAAGGGAAAATTCGAAGCCGGCATGTGGGTAGAGGCCATGAGAAACAATAAGGGACCATATCGAATATGTCAAATCGTCAAGATTGCCAAAAAGGGAACCCAATTCGACCTCAAATACGAAGACGGCAAGATCGAACGCAAGGTCAAATTCAAGCCCAGCAAGAAGAAACTATTCAACAAACCACGCATCCGCATGACCAAGACGGGAGCTCGATCCATTCACATTGATGTGGAAAAGCATGGCCACGAAAGTTATGACTCGAAACGCGACACTTATCATGGATACGAACACGAGACCCACACCAAACGCATTGAAAAGACCTTTGCCGAAAGGGAAGAAATGCGAAAGCAACTCCGAGAAAAGAAAAAGAAGGAACGCGCGGAAAATCCAGATGCTCAAAAGGAAAAAGATGTCGTTTCCGATTCGGACTTGGACTCGGATGTCGAAAGTGGAGATGATTCCGATGATGACTTTGTCCAGAATGATGAAGCGGACAGAGTCTTGACCACGCGCCTTGCCCGTCAAGGTGGTGTGGGTGGTGCTCAAATGAAGGTGACGGCTCGTAACTTGAGAATTCGAGAAGATACGGCCAAGTATCTACGAAACTTGGATGCCAACTCGGCGTATTACGATCCAAAGTCGAGGTCCATGAGACAAAATCCCAATCCGGAAATTCCCAACGACGAAGCGCAATTTGCCGGAGACAATTTTGCCCGCATTTCGGGAGACGCTGTCAATTTGGCACAGACGCAAATGTTTGCCTGGGATGCCACGGAAAAGTCGGGGACGGAAGAGTTGCATCCACAAGCCAATCCATCGCAAGTGGAATTGCTCAAGAAGAAATTTCAAAAGAAGTCGGTAGATTTGGCCGTGCAAAAGAAACGCAAGGTCCTGGACAAGTATGGGGGACAAGAATACTTGGACGGATCGGGTGGATTGGCAACGGCGGTCGACGAAGAAGATAATAATGCTGCTGCTTCCAGACAACAAGACAAGATTCGGTTTGGAGTCAGTACGGTCAATCAAAAATATAGCCGAGATGGTAGTATACTCAAGGGAGGTTTGGCCAAACCCAAACAAGTGGCGCTCGAATCCAAATACGAAGAGGATATCCATCCAAATGGACACACCTCTGTATGGGGATCCTACTTTCATATGGGGGCCTTTTCGTGGGGGTATGCTTGCGATCACTCCTTAATCAAGAATTCCTATGGAACTGGGTTGAATGGACGCAAGGCCAATGACAAAGCACTTTTGATGAAATACGGAACGGGTGTGGCTGGTTCTGCCGCCTTGGCGCAGGCAAGAGGCATGCTCAAGGCCGCGCCTTCGGGACAACGAGGACAGGCAAATGGCAATTTTGAACCGCCTAACAATCGATCCAAACTATATGGCGAAGCGGATCCAAAAGCCAAAATTGACCAAAATGAGGTCAAGGCTGCTTTGGAAGGTTACGACAAGAAACAAGAAAGCGAGGACACCCGCAAACGCAAGTACAATTCGGTCGAGACTAATGTGGATGTCACGGAAGCCGAAATGGAAGCCTATCGGTTGCGCAAGGAGAAATCGGCCGATCCGATGGCCAAGATTAGTTCGGATGAATTGCTAGATTATAAATAATGTTACAGTATATTTTTACTAGTCCTATATCAATAATGATATTTTAAAATAATAAATAGTATAGCTAGCAACAGGATCTGCATCCTATAGACTAAATAGCTTTTATGGGCCAAGTTGTGGTTGTTGGCCAAGTTGTTGAAAGAGAGTAACGGATGGGACTTGGTCTAGGATCTCGCTCGACTGGAGTGGAATGGTCAGCTTGACTTCGCGTTGCTCCAATCGATCGCTGACAGCTTCAATCCGCAATACCTTGACTTCAATATTGTCGCCTGGGAAGTATCCTTCCAAGGCTTCGAACAAATTGGCTTCTGTATTGATAACTGTGCTTCCCACCTTGACAATGATATCTCCAATTTCAATCAATCCCGTTTCGGTTCTGCTAGTACCTCTCAAACCCGCCTTGGCAGCTGGACTGTCGGGAGGCACATCCAATACCAAGACACCTCTGCTAATTCCCAGTGCCCGCGCTTGTCTGGATTCCAAGTAACCAATTCCAAGAATGGGACGAATGACTTTGCCATCCTTAATGAGAGTATTCACAATGAAATTGACCGAATCAATGGGAATGGCAAAACCAATGCCAGCACTGGCGCCCGAGGGAGAGTAAATGGCCGTGTTCATACCAATGAGTCTGCCAGAAGAATCCAAGAGGGGACCACCACTGTTACCAGGGTTCTGTACATAAATTGGATGGATAAATGGTGAGGAAGAGATTTCTTCATTGGTTGTAAAATTTAAATCAACTGATGGGTAATGATTGCACTTACAATGGCGGCATCGGTCTGAATGACATTGGAGATTGGTCTACCTGTGGGGCCTGAAAGAAACAAAAGGCAAGCAGTGCGCAAAGGTGGTTGGTTGTACGATCTAGCAATTTGACTAGCTCCTTGCTGGCAACAATATAATAAACTTACTTCTTACTTCTCTCCCCAATCCACTAATGATACCTTGCGTCAATGTATGATCCAAACCAAATGGATTTCCAATGGCCAAGGCAACTTGTCCCACTTTCAAGTCTAATAGAAGAGTACCGGTAGAGGGCATGGTTGAGAAAAAAAGAACAAGAGACGCAATCCATCTTACAAAGTTCCACTAGTTAACCACCACTTACTCTTGGAGGTTCCCACAGAAATCGGTTGCAAGATATCTGGATCCTGGACTTCCACTTTCAATACCGCAATATCTTTTCCGGGATCCACCCCCACAACCTTTGCCCTAAATACCGATCGTTGATAATCGGGACTGAATGATTTGCGAGAACTGGCCCTAATCTCGGACTGTGGCTTGAAGACATTAAAGGTATCGTCGACATCCCCGGGAGAGTCCGTCGTCATGGTAATGGCTCCTGCTGGCAATGCCTTGCCATTAGTTGGGGTAACGATTGCGACCTGAGCACTCCTAGCATTTCGAACCACATGGTAGTTGGTAACTGTAGTAGATACAACAAATAGGAGAAACCGCAAGGACGATATCAGTAATCAAAATCAGAATCATAGACCAAGTTGTCATCATCAGACACTGTGGTGTCCAAGCCTGGCTGCTTACCAATATGTCCTTGCTTATCCCAGACAAAACCCGACCCAGTCCCTATTGGAACTTCAATGCTGTTTGGTGAAAAGGCGTCTTGTTTTTGCGTAAATGTGTCAATGAAAACCACCGATGGAGCACACTTTTCAAAGGTATCAATGCGTCGTTTCTCCGAGTCTTCTAAAATGACTGTAGTGGCGGATGCCGCCTCGGCGGGTTCTACCTGCTTGCCCACGGCAAATGCCGATGCAAATGCAGCTGCCGAGGATAGCAAGATTTTTCGACGTTCGGGATTCTCTGGTGAGTCATTTAGGTGGATGCTGTCATTGTTTGGCTTCGGGGTTGCGGCATGCCATGTTGGAACAACAGATCGTCTTGGCACGCCAAAGAGCCTTCTGTATCTTCCTTCAAAAGCATATACATCACGTTGCGAGATTGTCGTCAAGACTATAAGGAGCGATGTATACACGGACAATCGCTTCATGATCGATTGCTTGGGGCTGGGTGTCACTTTCTACTTCGTGTTTCTATTTTGAAGAATGATGTCAGTAGGTGGTGGGTTATTTTTGATTTTGGAGATCGAATCGAAGTACTTCGAAAGTGCTTCCTTCCAAGTACTTCGAAAGAGCCTATTTTGAGTCCCGACTGCGTGCAACGGAATAAATAACAAGAAGATCAAGAAGGATCATCCAAGCAAACAGAGGAGAGTTTGAACCAAAGTCAGTGGGGGAATCAATCCATCATCCATCCATCCATCCATCCACTACAGTACGAGCACAAGGAAAGTCACAATGAATAACGTCATACTACACGTTTACGAATTACAGCCAGACACAACTTCGCGGAGGCCCCACGAGATTTCCAATACAGATCGCGCATTGCTCATGGTAACGGGTTTGTTGCCGTCCATTGGCATGGGTGCTTACCATACAAGTCTCGAAGTGATGGAATTGAAATACACCTTTGCTGCCAATGCCGGTATTATGTGCGGAAGGGCCAATGGTCCTGATGTGGGTGTACCCAATGGCGCCAAGGGGCCTGTGCAAAGCGTCAATTTGGGACCTTGTTTGCGGACGAAACAAGAGTTGATTCAAATCATCAAAAAGCTGTCGACTTTATTTTATACGTCCACGAGCTATGATATCATGCATCGAAATTGCAATCACTTTACCGAGACACTGGCAACCTGTCTGGTAGTACACGATCCACGAGAACGATTGGACACCTATCCTGGATGGTTGAATCGATTGGCCAACACTGGGGCCATGGTAATCACCAAAAATGACAATGTTGTGACATCTAATGTATTGGCAGAAGCAAGGGTGGCCTCGGGATACTGATTATTTATAAAACAGAGGTCATTCCGAATTATCAACAAAAACAACAAAACTGCAATAGTTTTTCAAATAACTCAATCACAGCGGGATTCGCTTTGAGAGTAGTAAAGTGTAGTGTAGCGAATGTATTGTAGTTCAATTTTTCGTTTCTGCAATGCTGCAGTATGTATCCCCTAATTGTCCATTTCTATTGGTGTTGTAATTTATCAATTTACTTTTATTCATTCTATGGTGGTTGAAAGGCCTGTACTGCCGATCGAGTTAGGTACTTGTACTCCTCCAAGGACATGCCCACGGCGGCGACCGACGGCGGTAGTTTCTCTACTACCGTCTTACGACTCTCCACCAAGACCATGTCCAACAACATGCAACTAATTGCCTTCCACATTTTGACGGGCAACTTGGGGGCCTCGGACGAATAGTCAAAGGTTCGCAACCAATCGGCAATCCGACTCTCGGCCGTCCGTTGCAATTCTTGCTGGAACCCCAGTTCGTGCATGCTCGATGGCAAGTACATTTTGACCATGGCCATTAATCCGGCGCACCGGGAGGCTCCAATGTCGCTGCGGTCTACTTGGGGGGACCAATTGTTGCCATAGAGTGGGGTCTCGGTCGATGATGGTCGTTCCAATCGGGCCATCCATTCGACTGCTTCCGGGGTCCACCACCGCGCAAGAGCACCCCATATCAGTGCAAAGGCGCGAGGCGTGGATGTATGCGCATTATTAGCGTTGCCCTCTTCGTCGTCATCTTGATAATAATCGTCACCGTCCGCATCCCCCATTTCTTGTTCCATGAGAAAATTCGCGAACTCTTCTTCTCCTTCGGAATCCTCGTCGCTTTCTTCCCTACCACTAGTACTGTCACCATCATCAAACACATCTTCGTTTCCCATAAACATACGGTACATGTCCTGTTGTTCTTGGGCTAGCTCGCGTTTCATTTCCGTCACTTTTTCGCCATATTGTTCTTGGGTCATGACGGAAAAGGCCAAATCGGCCTCGACCAGCTTGGCATCAGGAGTCACTTTGGTGCGATCAGCAGGCAGTTCATTGCCGGCAGCTTCAAAGAGTTCCTCTAAGGACGACAAGACAATTGGTTCTTCCATCTCTTCCTCCTCAGCATTTGTAGTAGTATTTGCTGGTGATGACGTTTCAATTGGTTGCGTACTACCCTTTCCTTGCATCTCCTGGTCTGTGCTGGCACCATCGCCTGGTGCAAAGGATACTGCTGACTGAGGAGTACTTTGGGATGGTTCATATCCCTCAATGGTAGCATAATTTGCCGTATTGTCCTTGGGACGGGTCTTGCGCATTGGGGGTTTCTGAAAGGGATCTCGTTCCACCACAAACGGTTCGCAGACTACTCCGGTTGCTGCTTTCTTATTATTCCGAAGATTATTCGTTTTGTCGCCTTTGGTGACTTGCGATTGGGAATCTGTTGTCCCGGTGGAGGAATATTTTGGTTTCTTCAGTATGCCCAATGGTTTCGTCGTGGATGATGTTGCTTGTATCGTTTGTGTTTGGGTTGCGTCAGGCGGTACTGCTGCAGGTTCTGACGAAGAAGTGGAGACAATTGTCGTGGCTGCTTTTGATGTTGTAATTGTAGATGTAGTTGATTCAACATCTGGCTCAATCGATGAACTGGTAGCTTTGTCATCCTCTGAGGAAAGGCCAATCCACGATCCCATTTTGCGTTCCAGGGCATCTACCGAATCATCGTCATTTGCTGGGGGTGGTTTTGTGCTGGTGCTTTTAGTCGCTTTGGCATTTGTTTTGCGAATCTTGGGCCGAATATGAGTGGAGGGCATGGTTCAGTCTACTGAAAACAGCTGTGAAAGCACACAATGCAACACGATGATATGGAGTCTGAATATGGAAGAATGATTATGGATGGTGTGGGGTTGCGATGTGAATGAAACGTGGGTTTTGTGTTGGTCGTATGAGTCATTTAGAGTAGTGATAGTGCGTGCGTGCGTGCGTGACTGCATGTTCGCACACAACGCAACGTTACCATGAAGTGATCGGGAGCTCCCCCTCATATCCATCCATTCGTGAGGATATCGCGAAGAATAGCACGAATCGGGTACCAGGTACTTGTACTTCCCGAACCAGGAGACGTTTGAAAGAATAGATAAGAGCAGTATTTTGCTGTAAGCTGGAATGGATGGCAGAATTCTTGTATGGTTACCATACCGCCCCTTGCTGCATGAAAGTGAATGCTTCGTCGTCGCTGGGCGGCACAATGCTCTCTCACTTTCAAAACGAGCAGCTGGGAGGAATTGCAGGGTATCTGATACGGTACACTATGTTGAAACAGTAGTTCATGGTAATCTGAGTTCCCGATGCAAGAAACTTCGTTTGAGAGAATAAATGTCATACTGTAAAATGTGTAGTTCACCGACCAAAGATACCACCAGTGAGAAGGGCACAAATCAAAGGCTCTTGCCCACAATGTTGGGCCAATAATTCGTTGCACAATAGTGTGTTCGCATGCCCAACAGATACGTGACATCTGGCATATGGTACTCGTGTTCCGGTATCTTCTTAAAACATTCCAATCCGTCCACGACCTCTTCACAACCGAACCCAAAACAGAACCTACAACAGAACCCACAACATACCGGTATGGAACCTCTTGGTACACTACCGGTACCATTTATATCACATGTACATAGTTGCTCAAACAGCAGAACACACGCCTTTTTCTTCAAGTCTCGAATGACTTGGAAGGTGTTGGCAAACATATAATTGTTTGGCGGTTGCTCATGATACTCTTCTACTTAGTACAAAAGACCGGTCTCCAAGCTTCTAAAATTGATGAGTCACTTTGACTTCCGTAAACATATAACGAAATAGAAAAACGAAACTTTTCTGGTGGAAGTTTTGTAGCCAATTAAATAAACGCATTTCCTGTCAGATATAAACGCCCCGTTACCCTCAACATCCAGAATAATAGTTTCGAGTTGCAATAATTATAAAATACCACATAAGTGTGAAAGTTCTTGATACAAGGAGGGAAGCAGATAAGTACAGTGCATCAGACTACTCCCTATCGTACACCGAAAGTAGAAACTACCAGATATTCGGCGGCAAATAGTTGCTCTCATTTTCTTTTCAGAACGAAACATTTTGAGAGTTGCTGTTTGACCAGACACCCATTCAACACTTTCTACAAACGCTTCACCATGGATACCAGCACCAGGTCGAGGTTTTCGTCAATCAGGAAATTTGATTCGGATCTTACCTCCGATTTTGACGTTTCGTTTTCCGTGGAGCCATCTAACGACAGCAATAGTGATTCTCGCGATGAAGTTCAAGAAGTTAGACAACTAGTACAAAAGGAGGAAAACGATGCTTCCCATTGGCGATATGCTATTACCCTTCTACTCGTGCTTGTTGCAAGTGTCGTCTCAGGGCTGACATGGCACTTTCTCAGGGAGGAAGAATCCAAGGCTTTTGAAACTGCTGTGGATCAATTCTCAAAGGCCCTAGCGGATTCTACCTACCAGCAGCAAGAAGATATTCGAGAAGCCTACAACTCATTTGCTGATACACTGTCTAATTGGGTGGCGACAGCCGAAAATGTGTCCTGGCCCTTTGTTACATTACCACTATTTGAGAGCTACGCGCGGCACGCTTTGAAGATCTCTGGAACCGAAGTCTTTGCTGTGTTTCCTTTGGTATCACACGAGAATCGAGAGGCATGGGTTAACTACACAATCGCAAACTACGAAGATATGGTCCAGCAGGCTCATATGATAGGCAAAGGAAACCTGGAATCATTAGTTGGCGGAGGATTTCATCCATACATTGCTCGTCCATCGCCAAATGGTTTCATTGAGGATATCGAGCGCGACCAGTATTTCCCAAGTAAGTTATCATTGCTTGAGCTGAAACGAAGGGGAAGCTACGTGTCTTACACCTTTTCGATTCGTTTCTCTTTTTCTAGTGTGGCATTTCAGCCCGGTAAGTTGTTGACTATTTTGTACTTGCAACACTTTTTCCCTTCAACACGTCATTCTCATCATCCTTTTTACTGTTTCTATTCCAGCCTCCATTCACTCATGGTGCCATCAATTGGAATGTCCAATCTGTTGACGCCTTTCGCGATGTTGTAGATGCTCTTTTGCTGCTGAAAAACGAGACTGTGATATCTCCAGTCCGTCCATATACAACCGCTGGCATGTCCATGTCCCAAGAAGAACACGAGGCTATGCACTCAACGCTGAAGGATTCATCAACTGAACATCCTCACAGTTTCGTCTACACTGCTGTGCATGGTAAGAGAAATGAGGTAAAGCTTTCTAATGGATTTCCCCGTCTCATCAAAGTTTGTGTTTCATGCTACAGAAGATGCTAATGATCGTCAGAGTCCCATTGTTGCTGTGGTATCTGCTGGATCTGCTTGGGACGCGAGTCTTTACAACTTGCTTCCTGACGGGGTCATGGGGATGAAAGCTGTGATCCAGAATAACTGCGGTCAGCAATTTACTTATGAAATCAATGGTATGTATTTGACAGACGCTCACCGAAACAATACCTCATTCCATTTCAGAAAATATACTAAAATTGCCGTCTGACTCGCCACAGGACCTGAGGCCATCTTTTTGGGGGAAGGTGATCTACACGAACCTGAATATAATGAATACAAGTTGACGGCAGACCTCTCGTTCCACACGCACCCAGACTTTGAAACCACTCCAGGTCATTGTCAGTTCCAAATGCACATCTACCCGGACAGCACTTTTGCTGACCTCTACTTCACTTGGCTGCCCACTATCTATGCATGTGCTGTTGGGGCATCATTTCTGTTTGTATTCTGGGCCTTCTATGTTTACAATGCGTTTGTCAACACGCGAAAGGAAAAGTTGATCGGGATGGCTGCAAGATCCAATGCTGTCATTTCCTCGCTGTTCCCGGGAAAGATTCGGGATCAAATTCTTGGAGAGGAGACCTCAAATAGCAACCCTCGCAGCTTTGAGGAACTCCTTGGTGCTTCCGCAACTCCTGGTATCAACACGTCGGCCCCTCTTGCTGACTACTTTGCCACTGCCACCGTCATGTTTGCCGATATCTGTGGTTTTACTGCATGGTCATCCGTCCGAGAGCCATCTCAAGTATTCACTCTCCTGGAGGCTGTTTACGGAAGCTTCGATAAGATTTGTAAGCACACCAAGGTGTTCAAGGTCGAGACAGTTGGCGATTGCTATGTAGCTGCAACTGGAATTCCAAAGTATCATAGAGATCACGCGGTATTGATGATTCAATTCGCGCACCAAATCTCTAAAGAGATGACGAAGATGACCCAAATGCTGGAAACGACACTTGGCCCAGACACATCGGATCTGCTTCTGCGCATTGGCATCCATACTGGACCTGTTACAGCTGGTGTCATTCGAGGAGACAAGGCGCGCTTCCAGCTCTTTGGAGATACCATGAACGTGGCATCTCGAATTGAGAGCAATGGCATTGCCGGTCGTATCCACATCAGTCACGAGACAGCTGAATGCATTCGCAAGTGCGGTAAGGGGCATTGGCTTGTGAAGCGTGAAGATGGTAGTGTTGTTGCTAAAGGCAAGGGCGACATACAGACCTACTGGATCGGTAAGGCTGTTGAAAATTCGAAACCCGATTCCACTACGAAGTATGATACAGCCTCAGAATCAGCAGAGAGCGAAACTTTTGAAGAGTTCGGGGTTACCGAACAACTTTGCAGTACTGATGGGCGAGAAGATCGTTTGGTTAACTGGAATGTGACCGTCTTCTTGGATATTCTGAAACACATTGTAGCAAGACGAAATGCCTACAAGAAAGGTGGGTTCACCAGAAAATTCGAACTACGAGGAGACGATCCTGAGGTTCTGATGAGTCTGGGCATGAGGAATTACAAGCCTATCAATGGGGTTCGTGAAATCATTGCTCTTCCTGAATTCAACGACGTGGCTGAAGGTTTGAAAGAAGATCTGCAACATGTTGACATACCCAAAGATGTCATTGAAGAGTTGCGAAACTACATTTCGACCATTGCTGGCCTGTATAGATCGAATCCATTCCACAACTTTGAGCATGCCAGGTAAGATCCGTCAGAAATTGTAGGAGCTTGTATTGTTCACAAAACTCACTGATTGCTGTTGTTCCAAATGACCCTGAAGTCATGTTACCATGAGCGTCATCAAGTTGCTGTCGCGTATCAAGGCTCCCAGTGACTTGGAGGCGTTGGAAGGTCGTGAAAGTAGTGGTGATATGTCTCCGGACATTCATGCCCAAATGCATGATCACACTTATGGTATCACTTCTGATCCATTGACCCAGTTTGCTTGCGCTTTCGCTGCTTTGGTCCATGATGTAGACCATGAGGGTAAGCTATTTTGCATGTCAGTCTCTATCATAACGAAATGGTCCAGAGCTCACTACTTTTTGTATGCAGGAGTACCAAATACACAGCTTGTCAAAGAGAGAGCCGGGGTTGCACTCGTCTATGACGCGCGTAGTGTTGCTGAGCAAAACAGCTTGGTGCTCGCATGGAACTTGTTGATGAGCAATCGCTTTGCAAAGTTGCGCAGTTGTATTTGTGCTACTGCCACAGAACTAACTCGCTTCCGTGAATTGGCAATCAATGGCGTCATGGCCACTGACATTGTTGACAAAGAGTTGAAACAATTGCGAAATAATCGATGGGACAAAGCTTTCAAACGAGATAATAGTTCTTTGAATGAAGGATTTGACGGAGATTATGCTGAACAAGATCGCGAAAGCATCAATCGAAAGGCAACAATTGTGATTGAGCACTTGATCCAAGCATCAGATGTTAGCCATACCATGCAGCATTGGCAGTACGTACTCTCTTTGCTGAACTTTCTCGACGATTACTTTGTTCAAGGTGCAACAGCTGACGCGACTATTCCTCTTCTTTTTGCAGCGTGTACCGAAAGTGGAATGAAAATTTGTTTAGGGAAACCTACAAAGCTTGGCAAGAAGGCCGTTGCGACTCAGATCCAAGTATCAACTGGTACAAGGGAGAGATTGGATTCTTCGACTTCTATATTATTCCGCTAGCGAAGAAATTGGAGAGTTGTGGTGTCTTTGGCAAATCGAGCGACGAGTTTTTGGTAAGCCATTGTCCGTTCCTCGCAATTGAAGTTGGTAGCCCTTGATGCAGTTCTAACACTCATCGCTTCTTTCGTTCCAGAACTATGCCAAAAGTAATCGTGAAGAGTGGGGAAAGCGTGGTGAATTGATCGTTCAAGAGCTAGTGGCAAATGCGAAGAATGAATTCGGTGAGAAGCGGAAGGCATAATTCTTTGGCAGTGACGGTCCCTTTGGGTTTTCATAGCCGCCTGCTGCACTGGTAGACGTATCTTCCCCCAGGAAATGCTGAGTTAAAAGAGTGATCGCAGTCAACTGAGAGCAAACACTACCTGGTACCCAAAATCAGTGAGTCGTCCTCCTTTCCGACTCTATCTTGGTTTCCAAACATCCCGTTTATCTACAACCGCGGGAATCAGCTTGCTGCTTACCATCACATTGCGCGAATCCAAGTGCTGGTGACAGCATCTTGAAAAAAATATATACATGGGATTCTTGAATTAAAATAAATAGAACAGATTATGTCAGCATGGACTGGCACAAGTGCATTATGTCTCTTTTCATTCTCCTTCCAGCTTTATCTAGCTTGTGTCAATTCCAGAAGCACCTTGGTTGTCATGTCCGAGGTTCTCGAATGTCGAAGGCAATCTGCCGCACAGCTGTAGGTTTGCCAGGTGACCTTGCCCTCGTGCCACGGCGTCCCAACTTTTGATGATCAGGTCCAAACGCTTTCCATCAAGTGTCGCGTGTCTATACTGGTGTCATCGTGTATCATTGACAGCTGCCATACAATGTATCGGTACATCTTACGAGCAAGACGATGCAAGAAACTTTGACTATCCATTGCGACAGCATCAACTATTCTCTTTTATCAAAACTAAGATGGAACAGCACAACAGTATGCCCCATTGTTGGGAAAGATCGTCCCACTAAAACCGGCTGGTCCACAGCCTGCGTAACAAATATGAAATGTTGAGAACAGTGCAATCTGAGAAGAAACAGCAAATAAGACCATTCAAGAGCTCACCAGGTGCA